CCCAGATGTATGCTAATTTCAGGGAACACCTAATGAAGTACTTTTGAAATCCTATTTCCCCCAAATACCAACTCATTCATTTAAAAACAAGAATTAGGCTAAGAGTGGTAGAGCACTTGCCTAGAGTGAGCAAGGCCCTGTGTTTGTTTAATCACAGTACCATAAATTAAACAAACACTGAGGCGACTCAATGCTTGGTGCTAAAGCATGAGGACCTGAGTTTAAGTCCCCAGAATTCATGTAAAGCTAAATACAGAAGCAGCTGCAATACCAGATCTTCTACAGGGGATGAGGGTTGGGGCAAAAGACAGCAGCCATTTCCAAAAGTAACAAGATCCACTGGAGTGGAGAGATGGCTCAAGTGGTTAAAAGAACTTCCAGCTCTTCCAAAGGACCTAAGTTCTACTACTAGCACACAAGTTAGGTGGCTCACAACTGCCTATAACTTCAGCTCCTTGGAACTCTGACACCTCTGGCTTCATAACTTACAAGTACATACAACCATCTGCACATACACATAGGTATAATTAAAAATAGTAATAAGGTAGGGATGGTGGTGCATGCTTTTAATCCCAGCACTTAGAGGGCAGGAAAAGACAGTTCGAGGCTACATAGAGAGTAGTTTATAACAGAGAGTTCCAGGACAGCCAGAGCTACATAGTCTCAAAAAAAAAAAAAAAAAAAAAAAAAAAAACCCAAACCAACAACAACAAAATTAGGCTATTATCTACTCTGAATATATTCATATGATATTCTCAAACACAGAAAGTAATAGAGAAAGCCACAGAAAACCTGATGACCATGCGAAAAGGCTATGAGATTTCAATGTTCCATGAAATCTACCAACTCCTAGCATTTTGGTGTAAGTTCATGGTATACTTAAGGGAAACTACTCATAAGGAGAGTTGCCATGATCTCCATCATGGAACATGTGGGAGGATTCTGGCATTCCTACATACTGTCCCCAGCAACTTCAGTTACATAACACAATAAATCCAAGCTCAAGGAGAGGCATCATCCTGACTTGAAGGAATAGAATCCTTGAGAAAACAAGATTTGTTAATTAGATTTCTAACCCTTGAATTACCCCACATACTAAGATTATACTTTTCAATGTTATGGTTTGAGTTTTAAAAATACCTCCAACAGACTTATGTGTTTGGGCTTATGTGGTCCCCAGCTGCTGGTGCTATTTTGGGATGTTGTGGGGGCCTGGATGGTGGAGATGGATCACTGAAGGGCCTTTGAGGGCTATAGCCCTAATTGTGGTCTTTCTCTCTCTGCTTCATGGTCTGCCAGGCTATGAGAGGCAGTGGGTGCAAGCTTCCACCACCAAGAACTGGATGTTATCTGCCATGCCTTTTCCACTGTGTCCTCTGATTCTAAATCCATCTTCGCTCCTTTAAGGCTGATTATGTCAGGTTTGGTATCATAACAAACAAGCTAATGCACTTATTTTCATAGCAGAAAGGGAGGGCATGGAGAGGAAAACTTCCATGTCCTATGTTTGGGTCTAGATTATATACTAAGGGCAGAGCAAAAGAACAGGAGTCAAGCCAGGAGTTGGTGGCGTAAGCCTTCTTTCTATCCCAGCACTCAGGAGCAAAGGCAGGTAGATCTCTGTGAGTTCAAGGCCAGCCTGGTCTACAGACAGAGTTCCAGGACAGGCTCCAAAGTTACATAGAGAAAACCTGACTCTCTCTCTCTCTCTCTCTCTCTCTCTCTCTCTCTCTCACACACACACACACACACACACACACACACACACAGGGAATCAAACATCACAGCCAAATGCGCACACTGGACATATAAGTAAAAGAGAAGAGACAGAGGAGGCAACCCCAGGAAAATCACTGGCAGTGCTGGCTGTGGGGGTCATACCTATAACAACATCACTGGGAGGCTGAGGCAGGAGGATCAGATAATCTATGCCTAAAATGGAGTTTGAGGCCAGCCTAAGCTATAAAAGACCTAGTTTGAAAAAAAAAAAAAAAAAAAAAGGACATAGCACAGTTTGATGGCACATGCCTGGCAATCCCAGCATATGAAATTCTGCCTTGGCATTTGAGAAGTAGAGGCAGGAGGATCAGAAATTCAAGGCCAGCATCAGCTAAAGAGTGAATGTGAAGCCAGCATGGGTTATATGAAATACTGACTCACCCACTCCTCTCTGCCAATAAAATAAAAATGGTCATAGATTTGTATTTTTAATGCCAAAAAATATGAATTTGTAGTATTTTCATTCTAAAATATTTTTATTACATATACTTATTGTCTGTGTTTGTGTCTTTGTGTGTGTTCCTATATGCATGGATTTGCACACTATTACACACATGGAACTCAAAACAATTTGTGGAAATCACTTCTCTGAGACTCTGATATTAAAGAAAGGCAATTATATTTGTTTTTATTTAGTTCTGTTTCTATTTTATAGCTGAAACTAAGTATGCAGGAGGGAATCCAGTCTGTGTGCAATCCCAGCATATGAAACTCTGTCTTGAGCAGAGAGGAAAGAAAAGCAAAGGAGAGAAGAAAATAAAACGAGCAAAATGAAAATGAAAGACAGGCCAGGTATGGTGGTGGGCATCAACAATCCCAGCACTTGGGGGTAATGGGGGTGATGGAGAGATGGTTAAGAACACTGGATGTTCTTCCAAAGGACCCAGATTCAGTTCCTAGCACGTGCCTGGCGGTTCACAACTATAGCTCTAGTACCAATCGCAGTTTGGATCTCTGGATCCAATGCCCTCTTCTGGTTTCTGTGGGCACTTGCCTACATGTGGCGCACAGACATACAGGTAGGCAAAATACCCATACACATAAAATAAAACAATATCCACCTCTAAAAAAAAATAATAATCCTAGAATTTGTGAAGCTGAAGCAGGAAGAGTGCAAGTTCAAGATCAGCCTGGGCTATTATTGTGACACAATGTCACATAATCAAGCCAAATGCAAAACCAAACAAAAATAAAAACAAACTGACAAAAATATAAAGAAATCTAGGAGGAGAAGAACTGCTAGATGAAGTCTGCAAGGGAAGTAATTGAGAGGGTTAGGGGGCTAGAAACAATAAATTAAAGAAAAAAATTGGAAACTGGTGTAGTGGCATCTGACTTTAATCAGAACTCAGAAGGCAGAGACAGGTAGATCTGTGAGTTCAAGGCCAGCCTGGTCTACATAGTAAGTTCCAGGACAGATAGAGCAACACAGTAAGATGCTGTCTTGGGAAGGAAGAAAGGAAGGGAGGAAGGGAGGAAGGGAGGGAAGAAGGGAGAGAGGTAGGAAAGAAGGAAGGAAGGAAGAAAGGAAGGAAGGAAGGAAGGAGGGAGGGACACACAAGTAAGTAAGGTATTTAGGAGGCTGGGAACACAGCTTAGTGTTGGAGTATTTGACTATAATACATGAAGCCCTGGGTTCACTCAGCACAGCAAGGGGAAAAAAAAAAGAGGGCAAACATTTAGAAAAATTAATTTACTAGTAAAAGAGAGTTGAAATATATTTTCTTATGCACAGTGGTATGAGCCCAATGCTTAAAATAAGGCTTTTCTGTCTCAAGGATGAATTTGCCGTGCCCCCCCCCCCCACTTTTTTATTTTTGGAGTCCTGCCAGTCTGAGCCCAAACACTACATTTGAACATCTGAGGAATTTCCCAATGAAGTTAAAGTTCTTTGGTGCCCCCTACTGTTCAAAATGTGTTTGAGTCAAGTCAGCTTAGAGATTTTTTAAAAATTTGTACACACACACCCCAACATGGTACAAATTAAACGAAGTTCAAATACACTTGCCTATCACGAGTTCAATGGTGTGGAAGAAAGGCTTCAGGATAAGCCAAAACAGATTATCCACACCCACCATCCAGTCAAAATGAAAATCAGTATTTTAGAGTTTCTCCATTAAAAGAATTTTTGCTTTGCTTCACTTGTTTGTTTTTGGGTTTTCTGTGGGGGTGTTTTTGTTTTGTTTGTTTTTGATTTGGGGGAGTGGTGTTCAAGACAGGGTTTCTCTGGAACTTGTTCAGTAGACCAGATCCGCCTGTGTCTGTCTCCTAGGTGCTAGGATTAAAGGTATGCACCACCACTGCCTAGATTGTTTTGTTTTTTGAGATAGAGCTTCATTCTGTAGCCCTGGCTGATCTGGAACTAGCTATGTAGACCATGCTGGCCTCCAAATGACAGAAATATGCCTGCTTCTGCCTCCGAGGTACTGGGATAAAGGTGTATATCATCTGGCACAACCTAAAAAACACAGCTTAAAGAAAGGATGAAGACCTTACACTTCCTTCCCTGGACTGTGGTGAAGTGACAGTTGGTTTTCAGAAATATAGGCCTGCTACTTCACCATACACTGGAAACCAAGCCATCTCTAAGTGCTTCTGTTTCTGACATATTCATATTCTTCCTCCAATGTACATTTAGTAAAACATTTTTTAAACAATCAGGTGTTGGTGGCACACACTTTTAATCCCAGCACTCAGGAGGCAGAGGCAGGCAGATCTCTATGAGTTTGAGGCCAGCCTGCTCTATAGAGAGTTCCAGGACAAGCTCCAAAGCTACAAAGAAACCCTGTCTTGAAAAACAAAACAAGCAAACAAACAAAAAAACAAAACAAAACAAAAACCCAAACATTCTCCTGAAGCTGGAGGTAGTGGTTGCACACCCTTATCTCAGCACTCCAGAGGCAGAGGCTAATATCAAATTCAAGGGCTGTAAGTTCCAGTTCAGCCAGGGATATGGCTCAAAACAAAGCAAAGCAGGATAGGACACAAAAGACTCTCTGGAGGCAGAGAAGGTAGGACTGTAAATTCGAAGCCAGCCTGAGCTGTCCCAAGTCTCTCAAAAAGGGAAGAGAGGGGGAGAATTAAAGAGAGAGAGAGAGAGATCTTTCTTCTTCTGCCTAAATTTCTTGTACCTTACTGTCTTCAGAACAACCTGTTATGAGGACCTAAAACCTTCAGGACAGTAAGCAAGTGTTTGCCCATGAGAAGAATTCAATACTTACCTGCTCCTGAAATTGTTTCTGGGACAAGCAATCTATTAGGTCCACACAGCCCAGAAGACAACCTGATGGATAGTCATTTGGAAATTCCACATCTAAACAGAAAACAATAAAAGGATCAGATAAATTTCCTGTGTGTGTGTGTGTGTGTGTGTGTGTGTGTGTGTGTGTGTGTGTGACCCTGGAACTTAGGAAATCTGCTTTTAATTGTGAAAACATAACTTTTTTTTTTTAGTCATCTATCTGTAGAAGCAAAGGAAAACAGTGAAGCTTTTTATATTGCACAACTGCATGTATTTTACCAAAAAAATCTAGTGAGCGATTAGCTTAGTTTACTATTCACATGCTAAATTTGGAAGCTTTTACTTTGGAAAATCCTCCATAGACCATCAAGGTTCAAGAACTCTATAGGCTAATTCCAAGCAAATTAATTCTAATGTACTCACAACTGGATTAGATTAGATGTGATAGTTAGCTTTAATTCGATACAACCTACAATCATGTAGGAAGAACCTCAATGAGAGAGGGTCAGCATAGGATTAGGAGACCCAGCTCACTGCAAGCAGCACTACTCTTTAAGCACAGTCCTGAATTATGTGGTAATCAGGTACAAGCCAGCTGAGCATGTGGCTGTCTGTCTGTCCTTAACTGTGGAGTTAAGGGGAGTACTAGCTTCAAGCTCCTCCCACTGTGGCTTCCTAAAATGATGGACTAAAACCTGGGATTCTGAGCTAAAACAAACTCTTAAACCCTTTCTCCTCTAAATTGCTTTGGGTCATGGATTTTTATCATAGCCAAAATAATAAAAGTAGAATAGAAGGTACAGTGTTAACCCACACACCTTCAAACACCTAATTTTTGACAAAACAGATAAAATTATACAATGGAAGGAGGAAAGCATCTTCAACAAATGGTGCTGGCAAAACTGGATGATGTGTGTAGAAGACTGCACATAGACCCATGTCTATCGCCATGCACAAAACTCAAGTCCAAATGGATCAAAGACCCAAACACAAATCCAGCCACACTGAACCTCTTAGAAGAGAAAGTGGGAGGTACCGTTCAACAAATTGGTACATGAGACCACTTCCTGAACATAACACCAGTAGCACAGACATGGAGATTGACAATTAATAAATGGGACCTCCTGATACTCTTAGGCATATATCCAAATGATCCACATCCATGCAACAAAGACATCTGTTCAACTATGTTCATAGCAGCATTATTTGTAATAGCAAAAACCTGGAAGCAACCCCTCAACTGAAGAATGAAAACAAAACAAAACAAAACAATGGAATCTTGAAATTCGCAGGCAAATGGATGGAACTTGAAGAAACCATCCTGAGTGAGGTAACCCAGTCACAAAAAGAGGAACATAGTACGTACTCACTGATATATGGATTTTAGACATAGAGCAAAGGATCACCAGCCTACAATTCACACCGCCAGAGAAACTAAGATACAGGCAGGAACCTAAAAGATTCATACAAGGTCCCTCACAGAAGGAGAAAGGGACAAGATCTCCTGATCATATTGGGAGTGGGGGTGGGGTGGGGGGAGCAGTGAGTGGAGAGGGAGTTAGGAGAAAAAGGGGAGGAGAGGAGAACATGTGGAACCAGGAAGATTGAGTCAGGGGATGAATAGATGACAGCAAGAAAAGAGATACCATAATAGAGGGAGCCATTATAGGTTTAAAGAGAAAACTGACTCTAGAGAAATGTCCAGAGACCTACAAAGATGATCCCAACTAACAATCTGAGCAACAGTGGAGAGGCTACCTTAAATGCCCTTCCCTGATAATGAGATTGATAAATAACTTATATGCCATCCTAGAACCTTCATCTAGTAGCTGTTGAAAACAGAAGCAGACCCCCACAGCTAAACACTGAGCCGAACTCCTGGAATCCAATTGCAGAGGAGGGATGATAAGCAAAGGGGACAAGACCAGACTACAGAAACCCACACAGACAGCTGACCTGAACAAGGGGGAGCTCATGGATCCCCCCCAGACTGACAGCTGGGAAACCATCATTGTATTGACTCAGACCCCCTGAATATGGGTCTCAGTTAGGAGGCCTGGGCAGTCTATTGGACCTCTGACAGTGGAACCAGGATGTGCACAAAAAGACTTTGGGAGAACATTCCCCGTGGAGGGATACTCCCTTAACCAGGAGACAGGAGGGAGGGCCTAGACCCTACTCCAAATGACTTGACAGATTTTGATGATCCCTCCTGAAAGGCCTCACCCTCCCTGTGGAGTGGGTGTGAAATGGGATGGGGTGGGGGCATGGGAGGATGGGAGGGAGAGAGAACAGGGATCAATATGTAAAATAAGAAAAAATTACATAAAAAAGAAAAGCAGCCATAAGTGACAAGAAAAAATAAACAAATAAATAAAAGTATGATAAAACAAACAGAAGAATAAATGTGATCTTTTTGTTTGTTTGTTTTGTTTTGTTTTTGTTAGTTTGTTTGTTTGAGACTGGGTTTTTCCCTGTGTAGCCTTGGCTGTTTGAGAACTAGCTCTGTAGACCAGACTGGCCTCAAACTCAGAAATCCACAGGTCTCTGCCTCCCCATCCCTGGGATTAAGGTATGCACCACCATAGGGTAGTAGTGGTGCATGCCTTTAATCCCAGCACTTGGGAGTTCAAGAGCCAGCCTGTTCTACTCAGTAAGTTCCAGGACAGCATCCAAAGCACAGAGAAACCCTATCTTGAAAAACAAAACAAAACAAAAAAGTGTGCACCATAACAGCCAGCTCAGAAACAAGTGTTGGGTTTGTTTTTTGTTTTGTTTTGTTTGTTTGGTTGTTTGGTTAGTTTTTTGGGTTTTTAAATTTTATTTTTTTTATTTTATGTGCATTGGTGTTTTGCCTGCATGCATGTCTGTGTGAGGGTGTTATATTCCCTGAAACTGGAGTTAGAGACAGGTATGAGTCACCATGTGGGTGCTGGGAATTGAACCTGGGTCCTCTGGAAAAGCAGTCAGTGCTCCTAACTGCTGAGCCATCTCTCCAGCCCCTGGTGACTGCATCAGCTTGGTTTCTTAGAAACTTTCAAAGGTGATTTTATAATTATCTTTCCCTTTTGTCTTCACAATTGTATGAGCCAGAATAGGAGGAAACACAGTGTACTCAAGAGTTAAAAGTCTTTTTAAAAATAAGAATTATTTTTATTATTTTGAGTTATATGTATGTATTTATGCATGTGTCTAGGTACGTGCACATGAATGCAGGTGCCCACCTAGGTCAGAGGTGTCAGATTCCACTGAAGCTGAAGCACTTATGAGCTGCCCAGATGAATGCTGCCCAGCATGGGTGCTGGGGATTGAAGCTGGGCCCTCTGCAAAAGCAGTAGGAGCTCTTAACACTGAGTCATCTCTCCTGCCTCACAAAATTCTTATTTTTTTTACTCCCCTTCCCCCATTAGTTATTTTATCTCCACAATAAACAGATAAAAGGTTTTCTCAGATCACACAACTAAGATTAGTTGGTTGGCTGGGTGTGGTGGTGCATGCCTTTAGTCCCAGCATTTAAGAGGCAGTAGCAGGTGGATCTATACTTGTTCAAGGCCGCCTAGTCTACATATCAAGTTCCAGGCCAACCAAGGTATATATAAGACCCTGCCTCAAAATAAATAAATAGACAGATATGATGGGAGTTGTCCTTCTGTATATGTTTCTCTTATCGGTTGATGAATAAAACACTGTTCAGCCAATGAGGCAGGAAGATAGGCATGACTAGGAGATGAGGAGAATTCTGGGAAATATAGGCAGACAACAGTCACCATGTAGACTGCCAAAAGGTCCGGACACTTCTCCAGTAAGATAAGACCATGGGGAAATACTTAGGTTAATAGAAATGGGTTAATAATTAAGAAAAAAGCTAGCCAATAAGAAGCCCAAGCCACCGCCAACAGTTTAATAATTAATATAGCGCCCATGTGTTTATTTGGGGTTCAAGGGCCACGGGACCAGGCTGCCAGAACAAAGAACCTCTTATAACACAGAAAGGCAGATAGATAGAAGGATAAATATTTCCCATTAAGGACTGAATAAACAGTGCAGCAGTTAAGATCACTGGCTGCTTTTCCTGAGGACCTGGGTTTAGCTACTAGCACTCACATGGCATTTCACAACCATCTGTTTGTAAAGGTAGTTCCAGGGGATCTAGCACCCTCTTCAGGCCACCATGCACTGCACAAATACGTAGAAGCAGTCAAAACTCATAAAATAATTAAAATTAGAAAAAAAAACATGAAAATTTGTTGATTTTTTTGTGAAATATTTATTTCATTTTCTATTTTTTTTTTTTAAAGATTTATTTATTGTGTTTACAATGCTCTGCCTACATGTCTGCTTCAACACCAGAAGAGGGCACCAGACCCGATTACAGATGGCTGTGAGCCACCATGTGGTTGCTGGGAATTGAACTCAGGACCTTTGGAAGAGTAACCAGTGCTCTTAACCTCTGAGCCATCTCTCCAGCCCCCATTTTCTATTTTTTTTAAACAGGGTATCACAGTGTAGTTATAGCTAGTATGGAACTTATTGCAAGGACTTGATGGGCCTCAAACTCAAGGGAGATCCATCCACCTACTTCTACCACCCAAGTGCTGGGATTGAAAGTATGTCTTGCATTCTTGGAGACACTAATGCTTTAAATAGCTGTCTATGACTTACCACTAATAAGCTGAGTATGGAGCTCATACCTCTTATTCTACCTTGAGTTTGAATTAGCCTAACCACATAGTGAATTCCACAGCAGCTGGGCTATACTGGAAGAAGACCCTGTCTCCAAATCAAACTAATAGGCAAATGTGAGGTTTTAAGTCTCTTTAACACAAGAAAAAGCCAAATGGAGAAGGAAATAGAAGATGATGAGCATTAAGGACTGAGACTGAAAACCAAGTACATGTGTTGCGGTTACCTTTCCCACGAAGAAGTTGATAGGTGGCCTGGAGTTCTGAGACTTCTTGAGGGGAAGGTCTTTTGCCTGTGGCTGCTATCCAGAGTCTTCCTCTGTGAGGTGTGTACCAGGATCTGCCCTCCACCCTTAAACAAATAAAAACTCAATGAGAAGGATCTAAATTCTAATGTCCTTGAAGATCCCATAATGTACAGCAAATTATCCAATTGGACCAAGAGATCTCAGGAAGATATCTTATCTAGAGGGGGTCTTTTGTGAGCAATACTTCTCCCACAATACCTTTCCCTTACAGTTGAATTGAACTTTGTCAGGTAACCTCTCCTGCCATCACCATTATCAGCCATTTCTCTCAACTCCTACTTGTCACCTGATCTCTGTAATTCAGATCTGGAACTGATACTTGTCTTGGGATTTCTATAACCTAAAGTTTATAATTATTACATTTCTTTATTTTGTAGGGAGGGCACATATGAGACATGGCATTTGTATGGAGGCTAAAGGACAACTTGGAGGAGTTGGTTCTCTACTCCACTATGAGTTCTGGAGATTAAATTTATATTGTCAGGGGCCAGATATGGTGTCTAACACCATTAATCCCAGCAATTGAGAGACAGAAGCAGGTGGATCTCTGTGAGTTTGAGGCCAGCCTAGTCTACATAGGGAGTTCCGGGCCAAGCACAGAAATCTAGAGAGACCCTAAACACTATTTGTAAGTCAGTATATCTATGTGTGTATACAGCACATATGTCCTCAGAGACCCAAAAAAGATCAGCTCCAACAGAGGGTTCTGAGTCATATGAATTTTGTTTTGGGATCTTCTCTTGGGTCAACTAGAAGTACATCAAGGGCTCTTAACCACTGAACCACCTCTACAGCTCTCTCTCGTAAAGACATTTATTTAAGTGCATATATGTATATGTACATACATAAATGCAGGTCAGAGGACAACTTTTGGGAGCAGGTTTTCTTCTACTGTGTGGGCTCCGGGGATCAAACTCAGTTTGTTAGGCTTGGTAACAAGCATCTTTACCCCAATCTCATTTTTTTTTTTTTTTTTTCAAGACAGGGTTCTCTGTTTAACAACTCTAATTGTACTAGAACTCACTCTGTAGACCAGGCTGGCCTCAAACTCAGGGATCAACCTGTCTCTGCTTCCCAAGTGCTGGGATTTAAAAAGATAAGAAACCTCCACCACCTAGCCCAAATCTCATTCTTAAAACAGGAAATAGGGATATGAAATTTTTACTTCTTAATTTACCAATATAGATCAATTAAAAGAGTGCCAGATACACTGTGAGTAATCACTATGGGAAAATGAACAAATGTATGTTTTCCCTCTGGCCAAATAACCTGAAGAGTTGCTAGGGAAATGGTCCCACAAGTGTGAAGAACTGACTCCGAGACAGTTAGTGATTATGAGAGACATGCTGCTCATCCTGTTTTTTTTTTTTTTTTTTTTTTTTTTGAGTGAGAAAAGATGAATAACACAGAACTAAAACAGAAGGGAAAACAAAGCATTCTGACTATGGAAGCTGAGAAGGACATGCTGTTCAATGTCCTACTTTGGAAAAGGAAGAAAGCAAACAGGAGGTGAATAAGAATAGGTATGTGAGAGCTAGAAGAAAAGCAGATTCATGTTTTTCTGTACTGACAGCACTACACACATGAACTGACTGTGAAACAACAGAGTCAAAGCAAAAAAGCATGCCTTTCAGTTGAGGAAAATGCCTAATGTACCTTAGTAAATAAAGGAGGGAAATGACAGTTAACAGCAAAACCGGTACAAGTGACTATTTCTAAATGTTAATAAAGTTTCCTCCCAAGAAGTAGAGAAACAACTGAAGCTTTCAGTACATGAACACATTGAAAACCTGAAGTCTAATTTTGTAATTCAGATCAATCTGGTTTAACTTTGCCTGCCTCAGGATCTTAATTTAAAAACTGTAAATACTAGTCTGGGGCTACACAGCTACTCCTTTGGAAACTAAAATTCTATTTAAAAAGTATATACTGATATGTATGTACATATTTTACTAAACACACACACATACACATATATGTATATATATTTTTACTGATATATACATATATATATATATGTATATATATATTTTTTTTTTTTTTATGGACATTGCCAGCATATAAAATTCTAGAAGGTAAGAGGAAGGGAAAAATGAGCATATAGTATAAATGTTAAATGAAATAAAAAACCCAAACAAAATATGTAACATGCTCTCACTAAGTACTGATACACTAGAAAAACACAAAGGAAATAACAGGGTTTCTTTGTATAGCCTTGGCTGTCCTGGAACTCATTCTGGTGTGGGTTACCACTGCCTGGCTATGTCACCACACTAAGCACTATTTAAAGTTATATGCACTAAACAATATTATATCACCAGCAGACTGATACAAAGGAGCACCAATCTTTGTGCTCCTTTAATTCTAAATTAAACATATACCACTCTAAGACTTTGACTTTCAATTCTTTTGAAAAGGTAAGAACTGTAATTCTTACCTTTTAATCCCTCTGACAAGCAGAGAAGCCCAGGGCTGATGCATAGAAAGGCACCAGCCACCATCAAAGCCTTCCTGGAATTCCTGGTCCTGGATTCGCAGGCGATGCTGATATAAACCAAGTTCTAGTCTTGGTCCTGCTGAGAGTGAAGTCTTCTTCTGCGGGGCTGAAACAGTGTTGTCTACCCACTGCATAGGAAAGAACACCACAAAAAACAGAAATAGAGTTTTGAAGGCAATGAAGGAACTTGGGGAAGGTAAACCAAAGCCATTAATGCCAGTAAAAGGAATCTCATGAGTGTCACTTTTTCTTTTTTTAAAAAGATTTAATTTATTTTATGTATATTGGTGTTGTGTCTGAATTCATGTCTGCATGAGGGTGTTGCATACCCTAGAACTGTAATTAAGACAGCTGTGAGCTGCTATGTGGGTGCTGGGAACTGAACCCAGGTCTTCTGGAAATGGAGCCAGTGTTCTTATCCGCTGAGCCATCTCTCTAGCTCATATCTATCTACCTATCTATCTACCTACCTACCTACCTACCTACCTACCTACCTACCTACCTATTATTTTGAGAAAAATTTCATATAACCTAGGCTTGCCTTGAACTTGATATGTGGCAGAGAATGACCTGGAATTCCTGATTCTCATGCTGCCATCTCCCAAATGCTGGGATTACAAATTTGTTACATTGCTTATGGAGCTTTTTTAGGTGGGGGGTGATTTTTGTTTTGTTTTGTTTTGTTTTTTGAGACAGGGCTTCTTTTTGAAACAGTCCTGGCTGCCCCAGTACTTTTTGGTTTTTTTGTTTTTTTTTTTAATTATCTCATTTCTAAATCAATAACAAAAGGGGTAGAAATGTTATAAATTCTTAGGAGTATTAAACATGGCAACAATGTTGCATCATTTTATTTGTTTTTGTAAGATAGAGTTTCACAATGTAACTCCATCTGAACTAGAACATACTATGTAAACCAGAATGGCCCAGAAATCAGAGACAGCTAGCCCAAGTGCTAAAAGTGGAATCACCAAACATAGCTATTGTTATATTTTTTAGTCTTTTTTTTTTTTTTTCAAATTACATTTCATTGAGCATTTTAGAGGTGGAGTGGGGCATGCATGCCACATCACCCATATGGATGTCACAGAAAAACCTAAGGAAGTAGGTGTTCTCAAGCACTTTTATCTGCTAAGCCTTCTAAACCATCATCCTAGCCTACGATGTCCCATCTCAAAGCATCTCAAAGGATAAATACATGCTGAAATCTCTACAATTCTACCTTCTTCTAGAAATATGTAATAACCAAGACAAAAGAGTTATTATTTTAACTTTATACTTTTTTGTTTGTTTGTTTTTGGTTTTTTTTTGGTTTTTTGAGACAGGGTTTCTGTGTAGCTTTGTAGACCAGGCTGGCCTCGAACTCACAGAAATCTACCTGCCTCTGCCTCCCAAGCACTGGGATTAAAGGTGTGAGCCACCATAGCCCAGCCACTTTATACTTATTAATGATCTATGTTTGATTCTGGATAATTTTCCAGGATGGGTTCAACATTTTGGTTCATAATTCTTCATGTGATACTTCAGAGTCTCATAGTGGTACCACAAAAGTTAAACAGTGGGCTGGAGAGATGGCTGCTCTTCCAGAGGACTTGGGTTCAATTCCCAGCACCCACATGGTAGCTCACAAATGTCAGTAATTTCAATTCCAGAGGATTTGACATCTTTACTCCAATGCACATAAAGTTTTTCTTTTTTTAAAGAGCCAATAAAGGCATTAAAAACAAAAACAAAAAACTAAACAGATGCCGTTAAAGTAGCAGTTCTGACTTTCTGACTACTGATTGTACAAAATATTTTGTTACTCTGAAATAAATGTGTGCCCAAAAAAAGTTAGAACACTACTTACTGTAAAGGTTCTCACTCTATAAATGGTGACAGAGAATTATAGGTAATTCAATTCAATTAGAGGGTGTAGGCAATTATAGGATACTAACAAGTTTTGGCAATAAAGAAGGATAGCTAATGTTTTTTTCAAAGCAAGATGACCAATGGCTCCAAAATCCTTTCCCTCACCCAGTGCTGGAGATTAAACTCAGGACCTCATACACAGGCAAGTACTCTATTACTGAGCTATACTGAGTACACCCCCAGACCCTAAAACCACATTCATTATGTACTGCTTCGAGAACTCAGCTTGTGGCTTCCACACACATACACACACACAGGATGCACATACACAACAGCCCTATACATGAAAACATATACACAAAGTTGCATATACCATAACTAAAAACACACAAAAATAATCAGACTCCATTAAAATATTTAAATGATAATATTTAGAAGATAACACAGATCATCTTACCAGAAATGTTTTGATAAGAATTAGAAAAAATATTGGGCAAGAGTAAGTGTTGATGGGTATATTGAGAGGAAATTGGTACCTAAAGGCCTAAGAAACAGATATACTTGAAAGGAAAACTATCTGGGGTCAAAACTGTCTCGGTAACAGTTAGAGGAAACATTCACTAACCTGGGGAGGGCTCTGGTACAGGTTGGGATTTACCAGAACTCCCAAAGGCTCTTCAGAGGACCTATCCAATGTCATCAGTGGCTGATTCAAAGTTCCATTGGCAATGGCCTGTATTGTTTCATCTAGTCTGTGGTAACAAACCAAAAGGAAGCAATAATTGGTAATCTTCTATACTCAGTGTCCAAACTTACCATATGTGACCTTTCAGTAATAAATTGGAATTGAAAGTTTTATTTGTGGACATGGACAACCTTCCCTACTCCAAACTCCATCTTTTTTCTCTTTGTACCAAGAATTCTAAGGAAAACAGATAGGGTACATTACTCATCCATCTATTTAACAAGAACAACAACATGCCAAAGTTAGAAAAGATGCCTAGCAATAGCCTGACCCAGAGAAGAGGATTCTAATACAACTCATCTATTAAATGAACCATAATTATTCTGCCTACTGGAGTCCCCTTTCCACTTTTCCACTCCTCCACGCTAATTTGAACTTTATCCTTCTTCAAGACAGAAAAGGATCCATTTCCTTTATTTCTTTCTTTCTTTCTTTTTTTTTTTAGATCGATGTTTTACTGGATGTGATGATGCAACATTCTCAGAACTTGGAAATAGAGGCAGGTGGATCTCTGTGAGTTTGAGACCAGCCAGGCCTACATAGTGAGTTCCAGAACAGCCAGAATTACATAGAAGAGACCCTGTCTCAAACAAACAAACAAACAAAACAATATATATTTGTGTGTCTGTGTGTAAATATGTACATGTGGATGCCATGTAAAACCAAAGGTATTGGATTTCCAGGAGCTGCAGTTACAGGTGGTTGTAGGCCACCCAAGAGTGCTGAGAGCTGAACTTGGATCTTCTGCAAGAACAACATAGTCTCTTACCTACTGAGATATTTCTCTAGTTCCAACACTCATAAATTTTAAGGAGGCCCCTCACTTGTCCAACATACAGTGCTTACTTCTGTTTTTTGTTTGTTTTTGTTTAGATTTCAACACAGCCCTTGCTGTCCTGGAACTCACTCTGTAGATCAGGCTGGCCTCGAACTCACAAAGAGCAGCCTGCCTCTGCCTCCAGAATGCTGGTATTAAAGGCATGCACCAGCCTAAAACTAGTACTCCCTGCCCCAAAAACCTAATATTTTTAGAACACAAATTTATTAAAAAAAAAAAAAAAAAAAAAAAAAAAGCAAAGAATAAACATTATTACAAAAGCCATTTTTCATGTGTTAGAATGTCATTTTTGTGTTGTTTTAATTTTTTAAGATAGAGTATTGTGGTAGTTTGAGTAAGAATAGTCCCCATGCTGGGCAGTGGTGGCACATGCCTTTAATCCCAGCACTCAGGAGGCAGAGACAGGTGAATCCCTGTGAGTTTGAGGTCAGCCTGATCTACAAGAGCTAGTTCAAGGACAGCTTCCAAAGCCACAGAGAAACCCTATCTCCAAAAACCAAAAACAAAATAGAAAAAGAATGCCCCCCACCATGGGCTTTTATATTTGAATGCTTAGTCACCATGAAGTAAACTCTTGGGAAGAATGAGAAGGATTATGAGGTGTGGCCTTCTTGGGAAAAGTGTGTCACTGTAGTTGGGCTTTTAAGTCCCATGCCAGGTCCAGCCTCTCTTTTTGTCTATGGACTCAGGATACAGCTCTCAGCTACTGCTCCAGCATCACACCTGCCTGCCCCTCCCTGATAATAATGAGCTAAACTTTCAAAACTGTAATTGAGCCCCCAATTAAATGATTTCTTTAATTGCCTGGGTCATGGTGTTTCTTCATAGCAATAGAACAGTAACTAAGATAGAAGTTGATACCAGAAGTGGGGTATTGATATCATAAGCCTGGCTATGCCTAAGGAAGAAGAAATGTAATGCTTTAAGTGAGACCTACTGGAACATCCTCGTAGGAGCATGGAAGACAGTGGTGCTGAAGATAATGCAGATTATGACAGCCCAGCTCAAGAGGTTTCAAAGAGGAAAGGATATTAGTAAGTAACTTAGAGATAATTCTTGTGATATTCTGGCAAAGAATGTCTGTATGAGATCCTGTCACAAACAAACAAAACAAAACAAAACACAACAAAAACTAATAACGCCTACACACACCACAAACCCAACAAAATAAACATAACAAAACTGAAACTGGGCATGGTATTACACACCTGCAATCTTAACACTTAGGAAGCAGGGGGATCAACATCAGTTTGAAGCCAGCCAGGGATACAAAGTAAGGTCCAAGTCAGGATGGGTTACATTGTGAAACCCAGTCTCAAAATAACAACAGGGGCTTTACAAATGGCACAGAGGTTAAGGGCACTTTCTGTTCTTACATGACCTGGGCTGGTCCCCAGAACCTACAAGGAGTCTGACAACTGCAGCCCAGCTGTAGGTGAGCAAATGCCCTCTTCCAGCCTCCGCATTTGCATGAGAGCACACTTTTCAGGGTGCAAAACTTGAGAGGATGGAGAGGGTTCTCTCTATTGTGTTTTGTTTTTGAGACAGAGTTTCTCTGTGTAGCTCTGGCTGTCTCAGAACTTACTCTGTAGATCAGGCTGGCCTTGAACAAAGAGATTCACCTGCCTTTGCCTCCCTAGTGCTAAGATTAAAGGTGTGCACCATTACCACCTAGCAATGGAGAGATTTCTTAAGAAGAGTTAGAGAAGAACATTACCTGAATAACTTTCAAAATCAATAATTGACATTCCAAAGTGGGGAGGGAATTAGTTTTTCCAATATATTAATTTCAAAGTTCAAAAGAGCAAATTGTTAACATTTCATCAAAAGCAAATTTTTTTAACTTTTTATTTATTTCTGTGTGTGTGTGTGTGTGTGTGTGTGTGTGTGTGTGTGTGTGTCTATGTGATATATGTGTGAGTGTGGGCATGTGTGTGCCATGACAAACTTGTAGAGGTCAAAGGACAACTTTTGGGACTCAGTTTTCTCTGTTCACTATTGGTTCTGGGTTCTGGAGACTAAAGTTATTAAACCTGAATGACAAGTGCCTTCTCTAGTTAAGCCATCTGACTAGCTCTACCAATTCATCTCACTGGCTCTCCCCATTTTAAAAACTGAACCAAATTTGATGAGCCAATACATATACACTTATAAAAACAGTTTGTGTGTGTGTGTATGTATACTTTCTTTTTCTTCTTCTTCAAGACAGGGTTTCTCTGTAGCCCTGATTGTCTTGGACCACACTCTGTATACCATATTGTCCTTGAACTCACAGAAATTCACCACCTACTGGGATTAAAGACATGCGCCATACTACCCAGCCCTTATTTTTATTTTTTGAGACAAGATTTTGCTATGTAGCCTAGGCTAGCCTGGTGGGATCCTCCTACCCTTCTGAGTGCTGAGATTACAAGTGTGTACTATCATGTCCCATTAAATTCACTGATTCAGTCAAGCTTACTATCACAGTGTAGTTTGGGAGAGATCTAACTTACAACTTTTCCAAAGTGGTGTAAATCATTTCAACATCATATATTAAATCCTTTCCTTTCAGTTTAAAAATGTTAGCTTTGTTTTCATTAATTTATTATTATTTCTCTGTATATGTGCAGCTAAGTCCTGAATGGTGTTCTTACACATATTAGATAAGTGATTTACTATTGAGCTACACTCTCATCCCAAGCCAATGTTAACATTAGTCATTATCAGTTTCACACACATATCTGCATACACTCAAGCACAAATACACAAAGTAGACATATTAGTTTCTTTCTGGGTCATCCATTTCATCAAAATATTCTGTGTGTATATATCTGTATGCATGCTCTCAAATGACCATGTGCGTGTTAAAGCCAGAAGTCAAAGTGGGCTGTTGTTCACAATTACTCTCTACCTTATTTTTTGAGACAGGGTCTCTCACTGAACCTGGAACCTGACTATTTGACTAGGCTGGCTAGTTGGGGGTGCTCAAGGTGTCCTCCTGTCTCTGCCTACACAGCTCTAGGATTACAGGAGTGCCACTATGCCCAGTTTTTTTTTTTTTTGTTTGTTTGTTTGTTTGTTTTTGTTTGTTTTTAATGCAGGTTCTAGGGAACAAACTCAGATCCTTTTCTTCGTTATCAAGCACTTTACCAACTAAGCCATCATTTTTGCATGCCTTACTAATTTATTCTAATGTACAACTGTACCTTTTTGGGGGTGCTGTTATTTTAAGTCTTTGTTTTATCAGAGAGAGTAGCAAACAGCTCAGGCTAGCCTCAAACTCACTACTTGACCTTGAACTCTTGATCTTGTCTCGTCTAGAATTATATATCTGCACCACTATGAATGTGTTCATGCTTCATTTTGAAAATCTTCAGCTACTCTATATATTTTCTGTTCTAAATTAACAATTATAATTTTCTACTTAATTTTTTTTTTTTTTTTTTTTGAAGTGCTGGGAATCAAACCCTGGGGCTCAAGGATACTTACTTGGCAAGTGCTATACCATTTTGCCACAATCCTAGCCTTAAAGATTTTATTTATTTCCTTTTTTTTTTTTTTGTGAAACAGGGTCTTCTTATATAGCTCAGATTGATCTGCAACTCAGTATATAGCCAGGCTAGCCTCATAGTATGTATCCTGTACCTTCAGTCTCTGAAGTACCATGATTACAAGCATATGCCACCATACAGAATTCCATCATTATAAAATTGTGTGTGTGTGTGTGTGTGTGTGTGTGTGTGTGTGTGTGTGTGGTACCTGGGTTGATCAATGGCCTTGTGCATGTCAGACACATGTTCTACAACTGATAAATATTTTTAGTCCATCATCATTGTTAGCATTCTTTTTTAATTTTGTGTGTGAGAATGTGCATGCATGCATGTACCACAGAATATTTGTGAAAATCAGAGGACAACTTTCAGATCTGGTTCCCTCCCTCTACCATGATAACCAAACTCAGGTTATCAGGCTTAGCAAGCAGGAACCTTTACCTGCCGAGCTAACTTGTTGGCCATTGACCATTTTTATTCCTTTATTTTTATCTTTGTGTGTATGATATTTGCATATGAGATGTATACATGACGTGTGTGAAAGTATGAGCAAATATGTGTCACACAGTATGTGTATGGAGGTCAGAGAACAACCTCAGTTGTTGATCCTCACCTTCTGCCCTGGTTGAGACAAGCTCTCTTTGCTATTTGTCACTGCATACACCAGGCTAACTGGCCTGTGAGCTTCTGTCTCCTATGTTGCCATAGGAACAATGAGATGACAGATATGTGGTACTACATAATGGCTTCAAACAGGTTGTAAGGATATGAACTCTGGTCCTAAGACTGGGCAGCAAGAGCTTTAAACATTGGGCTACCATCATAATTATTATTATCATTACTATATTACTACTTTTTTTTGTCATTTTTGAGACAGCGTTTCTTTTCTGTAGCTCTGGCTGTATAGCTCTGGAACTCTCTCTGTAGACCAGGCTGGCCTTAAACCCACAGAGATCCACCTGCCTCTGCCCCTGAGTGCTGGGATTAAAGGCGTACACCATCAATACCCAAACATCATTACTTTTTAAGTAAATAATACATTAGAGGAAAAACCTTCACAGTCAGGCTGCCCCTCTTCTCAGATCTCACCAGAGGCTTCATACTTACCTGCTGTGATACTCTGCTAGTGGATTTTCATCTTCTAGGACTTTCCGCCCTGCAAAGTCAATGGTGACTTTCTTAGAGAGTCGTGAAGCATGTCGGAGTTCTCTCAGCTCCTCCTCTCGTTTCTGCAGAGTTTCCCGCTCAACTTTGGACAGCCACTGGTTAGAATCACTGGCAAAGTAATCTGACTCATCATCAATAACTTGGGTCCTTCGGATACTGGGCAGGAAAACAAAACAAAAAACAAAAACACAGCAAGTGCGTCATGTGTTGCAAATATGGACTAATTACTGCCTAACTTTTGCTATTGTAGAAGCTCCTGTCTCAACTATGAAAAGCCAGAATGTTCTAAAATCAGGCTAAGCTCTTCCTGACTTCAAGCTGCAGTGTGTATCTTATGTCTACTTCAAGGTTCAGTTCTGCTCCTAGAACTAATCTCATCCTCAGGCAGTGGAAGACATACCACCATCATCCACTGTCCTTTCTTTCTGACAAGTCCAACCTTTCACCTCCCCTTCCATTCATCCTCCAGCCCTCCAGGCTGGTTTTGTCAGATACCAGTTGTTATTTCAATATAACTTACTCACTGTCCTACTCTTTCTATAATTCACTGGGGTCTGGTTTATTACTAATAGACCCATCTGTCTGCTGGTGTCAAGTAGCTTAATTATTACCACTAACTGTAACAGTTTCCATATCCCCCCAACAAAACTTTTCCCCAAAAAAAGGGCCCAGTCGCATGCAAGAAACTTAAACCCCTTCTGTCAGTTCCATATCCCCCCTCCTCAATCTACACTTTTTCCTAATACATAGCCCAAGTTCTAAGATCATAATGACAAGAAACTTGACAGCTGGAAGGAATTCTGACAAATTTAACCTTCCTGTCATTCTACAGAAAATAAACCTGGAGCTCACAGAAAATGATTACACCAAAGTCATAAACCTAGTTAAGGATGCATTTCTCCATAATTACAAACTAGTGAAGCACACAAGCATAAGGAAGACAATTACATTCATATTCAGAGTACAACATGATTTTGTATTAAAAGATATGGTACAGGCCTTGACTCTACTCCCCTACTAATAAAATTTTACAATATTGTACTTGCCCTGACCGAGGAAATCATGGTGAATTAAAGGCTGGCACAGTGACTTCACTAGAGAGCGAGCTGTTTTAGACAAGGGTCTGTCTGCTGGGCTCAAAAAATACAAATGTTTTGTTTTTATAACTTAACTTTATTTTGTGTGCATTGGTGTGAAGATGTCAGATTCCCTGGAACTGGAGTTACAGACAGCTGTGAGCTGCCATGTGGGTGCTGGAATTGAACCTGGGTCCTCTGGAAAAGCTGCCAATGCTCTTAACTGCTGAGCCATCTATCCAGGCCCCGGAAATGCAAGTTTTAAAGAACAGTTGCTAAATTCATGAATAAAGTCTCCAGGGCCAGTTTTTCCCTTAAGTATTTCAGTGACTTCTCTAATACAGGATCTTGGTTCAAAGGAGTTTCAAAGAGTGTGGAATAGTCAGCATTTTTGAAGGGTTATATTGGGAACTTAAGAAATCATAATTGTTCACAAATGTGCTTCCTGCACTCTGGGGCTTCAGATTAAGTAGAAAGTATGCAGCTCATGTCTATCAGGACTTTATTTTTATAAAAGTCTAATGCAGGCTTGGAGAAATGGCTCAGATGTTAAGAGCACTGGCTGCTCTTCAGGAGGTAAAGAGTTCAATTCCCAGCAGCCACATGGTGGCTCACAACCATCCCTAATGAGATCTGGTTCCCTCTTCTGGCCTGCAGGTGTTAACTTACAAAGATTTGTCTGCCTCTGTCTCCCAAGTGATTAGAGGAGTATTATGCCGTTATTCCTGGCTTGGTTTTTGTTTAATTTAAACTTTCTTCTGTTCTGTCTCTAGCACAAAAATCTGTGTGTTATCTATGTAGTATTTTAATTGTTCTGCAATATAAACTGGTTTACTTAACACAGCTGCTCTTTGGTTTAAAAATACAGTCTTTAAATTTTTTTACCCAATAATTAGATAATTTGTTACTAAATAAATGTGATCTGTAAATTCTTTGTACAGAATGTTTAAAAAAAAAAAGATTTAAAGAACATAGGTATAGTATTCTATGCTTTAATCCTAGCACTTGGGAAGCAGAAGCAGGCAGATCTCTAGCCCAGCCAGGTCCATATGGTGAGACCCTATCAAACAACAAAAGCCAAAAAAAAAAAAAAAACCCAATACAGAATATCCACCTCTTCTCTGTTAGAGACCCTTTTACACTCCACACTAGAAAGGTTTTAAGTGTCAAAGTAATATTTAACTTATTTTATTATCTTATGTGGGTGTTTTGCCTGCCTGTACATGTGTGTGCTCTAAGTGAGTGCCTAGTGCATGTAGATTTCAGGAGAGGGCATCCCTCTGGTACTGGAGCTATAGATGACTGAGAGCTGCAACACAGGTGCTGGAAATTGAACCTGGTTCTCTGAAAGAGCAACAAGTGCTCTTAATCTCTTAACCAACTCTCCAGCACCCTAAATAATGTTTTAATGTCCAGAATCAATGAATGAATTCCTGTCTGAGCACATGTTAGTTTAACCATACAATACCTAGTTCTGTCGAACTCTAGTAGTTTTTCTTTATGCTTAATAGCCTTCTCCAAACCAGACTTAATTCTAGATTCTTGATGAGGAAGAAGGTCCTTGGAAGAGATGTCTACCTTTCCAGAATTTTCCGCCCCTGAAATTCAATAAGAGAAGCAAATTATATCAGCTCACACAACAAATTTGTTGTATTTTGTGCAGCAATGAACAACATATTTACAGATCTGGTTCTAGCCTGATGCTCTGAAGCATTCACTGAGATGAAAACATTTAAGGTCAGGCCCAACCAACATCAAGTGGCATTTGATACTAACAGTTTCTCAAAAGTAAATAAATAAATAAAGTTTGTTTTTTCTTTATTTAACGAAATTTACCTGTGAGTTCCAGGATAGCCAGGGATACACAAAGAGGCCTGTCTTGAAAAACAAAACAAAAGACAAACAAAACAAAACAAAAAAAATGTGTTCCAACAAAGTCAAAAGACATATTGGCAAAGTTGACTATTTATGATGACATCATTTCTAATTTGGAAAGGGTCTAAATATCCAATAGCTAGGAGCTAGATAAACAAATTATAATAAACAGTCAGTAGACAATTTTTAAAGCCTTATTTATTTGTGTATGTGTGCATGCAGGTGCCATGTGCCTGCAGGCCTGAAGGCGTCCAATCAGGCATCTTCAGGAAGCCCACCTTGTTACTTGGGTCTTAGGACTGAGCTCCAGTCCTTGTGAACGAGTCACAAGTGCTTTCACCACTGAGCCATCTGTCCAGCCCAACAGACTGTCTTTTGCTCAACCAAAACAAGTACACAGAATATAAAACTTTGGGCATAGTGATACATATCCGTAATACCAACCAATGAGGCAGAATGGTTGCAAGTTCAGTCAGCATTGAAAGCTGAAAAGCCTAACACAGAAACCAGTTATATAAAATTGAAAACTGGAAAAGCATAGCATTTGCTTTTTATAATTGCTACTTTATAGTAACAACAACAACAACACACACACACACACTTTTTGTTTTTCAAGATAGACTTTCTCTGTGAAACAGACCTGACTGTCCTGGAAACTCACTCTGTAGACCAGCCTGGCCTCGAACTCACAGATATCAGCCTGCCTCTGCCTCCCTAGCGCTGAGTTTAAAGGTGTGATCCACCATCACCTGAGTAACATATATTTTTATATAAAAAGAAAATGAATATGAACTAAGGTAAGAGCTAAATATAGTTTTGATGGAAATTAATAAACACATGGTTTTAGCCTGGCATGATGACACACCTACAATCCCAATACCTTGGAAAAGGCAGAAGATCTAAAGTTCAAAGTTCTCCTCAGCTACACAGCATGTTTAAGAGTAGCTTGGGCTACATGAGATCTTATCTCTCAAAAGACAAAAAAAAAAAAAAAAATGTGCCTTTTAAAAATAGTCTTAAATTTTATGGAGTTTTAAAAGAATTTAGTGTATGTGAGTAAGTACATGCCACCACATGTACATGGAAGTCAAAAGACAACTTGCAGGTCTCAGGTACTGACCTTGAGTTATCAGGTTTAGCAGTGAGAACCTTTATTTACCTTCTAAACCATCTTGCCAGCCTTGAACTTTTCTTCAGTCTCACTATGCAATGCAAGATAGCCTATTTTCATTTAGTCACTGTGCATGCCAGGCTGGTTCCAAACATGCCGTGCCCCTTCCATAAACTAGGATGATGTAGTGATAGGTTTACTTGTACCACCATGCCTAGTTTAACTTTCTTCTTTTTATATTGTATTTGTTTAGTGTGGAGTGTGTGTGTGTGTTTGTGTGTGTGTATGTGCGCGCACGCATGTGTGTACGCACGCACATGCCATGAAGCATATATGGAGGGCAGAGGACAACTTATGGGAGTCAGTTTTCTCAACAGGGGGTGCCTTTACACGCTGAGCCATCTCACCAGCCCACCTATATTTTATTTTTAGGTTTTTTTTTTTTTTAATGGCAGTCTGTTGGTTATGTGTGTGCACATGTGTGTTATTTTTAGTTTTTAGTAGATAAGAGTCTTGCTGTGTTATCCAGGATAGTCCCAAACACCCAAACTCCAACAATCCTCCTGCCTCTGCCTCCCAAATATAGTACTTCAGGTATATACCACCCTAACAAAAAAGTCCTTAACTATTTTTGTCAGATGTTCTCAAATATAAGACTTAATATTTTGGGGAAAAGAGTACAATTCCTTTATAAGTTCATCCCTTCATGTCAGCATTTATCTTTATAAGAATTAAAACACAGGAATTGGAGCTGAGAGCCCGGCATGGTGATGCATGCTTTTAGTCCCAGCACTTAGAAGGCAGAGACAGGTGGATCTCTGAGTTGTAGGCCAGCCTGGTCTACAAAGTGAGTTCCAGGACAGCCAGGGCTACAGAGAGAAACCATCTTGAAAAATCAAGAAAAAAAAAAAAAAATTGTTGAGTAAGGGTGTGCCCTGTACCGCCCCAGCCCCTTATCTTAGCCAGGCAATGATGCACATCCTGGCACCAGTGAGTTCCAGGCCAGCCAGGGGTACATAGTGAGGCCCTGTCTCAAAGAATGAAAAAAATAAAACATGAAAGAAACCTGGGATTTACCTGACATAAGCTTCTTTAGCAATTTCTGGCTTTTGTTTGAGTCACGCTGTAAAATGTCCTGTTCTTCATTAGTACATACCTATAAAGTAAAATAAAGAATTATCATTCAATAGTTGAATAATATTGCTTGCTTGGCATGCTATAAAGAGTAGCCTTAACAGGTGGATCTCTTGAGTTCAAGGATAGCCTGGTCTACAGAGTGAGTTCCAGGACAGCCACAGCTACACAGTGAAACCCTGTCTTGAAAATACAGAAAGTTGGGGGCTGGAGAGATGGCTCAGTGGTTAAGAGCACTGACTGCTCTTTCAGAGGAAACTGGGTTCAATTCCAGGCACCCACATGGCAGCTCACAACTGTCTATAACTCCAGTTCCAGGGGATCTGACACCCATGGCAAAGCACCAATGCATATAAAATAAAAATTAATAAATTAAAGAAAGAAAAACCAAAAGTTTATTGGTGTAAATATTCCTGAATAACTAGATAATTGTATGTATTTACATTAAAATAATATACATATTTCTACTTTCAATGTAAAAATATTTGCTTCTGCTGAGAATACCGAAAAATATCACAAGACTTTTCAAAAGCCTTTGGTTCTAACAATAAACTCCAAATCCAACAATAGAAATTATAAGGAGATGTTTTATTAGAAAGAACCAGAAGCTTGAAGCTGGAGAAATGGCTCAGCAGTTAAAAGTACTGGCTACTCTTCCAAAAGACCTGGGTTTGATTCCCAGCACATACATGGCAGCTCACAAGTGTCCGTAACTCCAGTTCCAAGGGATCCAATTACCTCTTCTGACCTATCAGGGGACCAGGCACAAATGTGGTCCACAGACATACATGCAAGCAAAACATATGCACATAAAATAAGAAAGAACCAGAAGGCAAATATGATAGCTTACATTTGTCATCTCAGTACTTTAATACTTGAGAACCTGAGGTGGGGGACTGAACAGGGAGCTCAAAGACAGTTACTAATGAGCCTGGGCTACACAGGGAGCTTGAAGCCAACCTATTTACGCAATAACTCACTTTTCTGCTTTGGTCTCCATAGTGCTGGGATTTCATTAAACATTATAGAGAAGAAATTTCCTAAGAGAAATTACAGAGGATTTGGCCAAGCAGTGGTGGCACACAGCTTTAAACCCAGCACTTGAGAGGCAGAGGCAGGTGGATCTCTGTAAGTTCGAGGTCAGCCTGGTCTATAGCACAAGTTCCAGGATGGGCTCCAAAGCTACACAGAGAAACCCTGTCTTTAAACAAACAAACAAAAATCCAAAAAACACCACCAACAACAACAAAAAAACCCCACCATGAACAAAAGCAATTTTGGTAGGAGGAAAGGGTTTATTTTTTTTTTATATACTCTTGTTTGTTATTTTTATTGTATGAATGTTTGAATGTTTTGCCTGCCTGTATGTTCGTTTACCATATGTATGTCTGGTCTTACAGAGGTCAGAAGCAGGCATCAGATCTCCTGGAATTGGAGTTACAGATAGCTGTGAGCCATCATATGGCTGCTGGAAATTGAACCCAGATCCTCTGCAAAAAACAGTAAGTACTGATAATCACTGAGCTTCTCTAGCACCCAAAAGGATTTATCTCATCTTGTTCATCACTGAGGGAAATTAAGGCAGGAACTAAAGACAGTAACCTGGGGCAGGGACTGATAGGTAATATAGGAAGGTTGCTTCCTGCCTGCCTGCCAGCCCACCCTCCTTTCCTTTCTTTTAAAGACAAGGTCTCATTGTATAGCTCTAGTTGGCCTGGAACTCACTATATAAACCAGGCTGGCCTCAAACTCACAGAGATTCTCCTGCCTCTGCCTCCCAAGTGCTGGGATTATAAGCAAACAACATCATATATTAACCTGTTTTATATATTCCAGGACCACCCTCCAGGGGGTGGCAACATACATAACTGCAGGGTCTTTCCACATTAATCACTCATTAAGAAAATGTTTCACATGGTTACCTACAGGACAATCTTATGAAAGCACTTTCTGGACTGAGGTTCCCTCTTCTAAGATAATGCAAGTTGACAAAAAAATCACCCAGGGCACAGAGTAAAAACAAAACAGGAAAGAAGGACTTTACCAAAGAGCCACAGAATAAGCAGGGGCCAGAACCCTCTTGCTCGCAGACAATCCGCCCACAGACCAGACAGTTGTTGATGAGCTTGTGCTTCTGGCCCAGGCAATCACATGGGTGACGACCAGGAAGCAGGACTGCCAGTCTGTCCTGTCCCTCTCTTGTGTATAAATTGACAAATTTTGTCTTCTTCTTTACTGAGTTGTTGCTTTCTTGTGCCTAATTGTACAAAGACATCACCACAACACTGATTAAGGACAACAAAAAGAATCAAGGAAGAAAGCCTCAGTTCTGTAACAACATACAGGAATCACCAAAGAAAGGAAATACAGAGTACTTATTATTAGGGATCTGATAAAAGCAAGGTAATTGTTTTTCTGGCAATTATTTTGTTAGTAGCTCTCAGTCACCTAATATGCCTAGAGCAAAGTAAATGTAGCAAATAAAGCAGCTTTATATGTTTTTTTTTTCTTGATATGTTTTTAAAAGGAAGTTTTACACATGAAGGCAACATTCACAGGTCTCAAAGCATAGACAATCAATAAAATAGGAAAAATCCATTTAAAACTTATTCATTTAGAAATTAAGTGAGGAAAGAGTGTAAAGTGGCATAGCATGTGGTTAGCATGCATGTGGCTCTATATTCCATTCTTATTACTAGAGGGAAAACAGATAGCAGAGAAAAAGATAACAGGATAAAATATTACAATATAAAAATATGAATTGCAGAGCAACAGATGTTCAAATGATCAAGAGAGACACAAAAATGTATGCAAGATCTTTAGGCATTAAAATAATACAGCACAGCACTTGGGGGTTGTTCAGGAGTAAAGTTCTACCTTAGTACACACAAGGCCGTGGGGGATGGGGATTCAAAGTAAAGAATATACAAGCATTTCTACAATTCTTGATGCATGCTGCCAAACACTAATTCTATTTTTACTCATTGACAATCTGGTAGGAAATATCTCAGTGATTTAAAGTATATTTGTCTGATTGGTATAGACATCTTGGATTTGTTCTTGCCTTGGGGCAGAGGCATGACAAGGGACTTAAGGTGTTAAAATTGAAAATGTTCCTAGCAAACTAGAAGTATGAAAAATTGGCCACCTTAGTTCCTAGAGAGATTTAAACACTTTTATATACTTATTGGTTATATGTTCTTTATTCTCTTGTGATAATCTTTGTAAATATCATTCTTAGTGCTTTCGTTTTGCTTTGGTTTTACTTTTTTGAGAAAGTTTCATTCTGCAGCCCAGGCTGGACTTGAATAGCAGGGACTTCTGCTTCAGAATCCTGAGCACTGGGATTACAATTGGGGCCACCATGTCTACCTTTCACCCATTTTTTTTTGTTTTTTGGTTTTTTTGGCATGGTATCATACTCAGATTTTTTTTAAAAATTCCTTCTTATATTAATTTTCTTCTGTGGGAAATTTAGCTTGTCAGGTTGTGATCACTATAAATATTTTAGTTATCCAGGTACAGTGGTTATAACCTGAGCATTTGGAAGACTGAAGCATGAGGATTTTGAGTTCAAAGACAGCTTGGGATACTCAGAGAATTCTAGGCAAGCCTGGTTATTAATGAGTTTTGAAGATTGAATAATGATAATAATGGTAGAAAACTTTTGAAAAAGAAATACTATTCATCTATCTTTTAATTATTTTTTGAATAGAGTCTCATTCCAGGCTGGCCTAGAATTCACTAAGTAGCCCAGATTGGCCTGGAACTCTCATCTCAATCTTCCTGCTTTGGTCTCTCAATTGCCTGTAGTTTTAGCTTTTTGTTTGATTGATTTTGGGTTTTGTTTGTGTGGGTTTTTTGTTTGTTTTGGGTATTTGTTAGATGTAGGAAGAGAGTTAGAACACAATTGCCACAAATTATGTAGCTGAATTCCCCACCTTTTTGAAAATCACAGGGATCAACATCTCCGGAGTGAAATGGGAAAGCCTCGCCCTGGGAAAATCACCTTTGTGATCGTGGTAAGTAGGCCTGGCAGTTTTAGTAAAAGCAAGAAGTATATAATCATTTAATTGACTGCCCTCTCAAATGATGAAGTTGAAGTAGGGTGCTTTATTAACTAGTATCCATCCAGCAATAGGAATGCAGCTCAGAGGTGGAGCGCTTGTCTCACATGCACGCATGAGGTCCTAAGTTGGATGCTTAGTATGAAATAAAACAACTCTTGTAGAGAGTGGTGGCACACACTTGTATGTAGAACTTGGAAGGGAGAAGTAAGAAGATCAGGAGTTCAAGACTAACAGCATGTTAGAGGTCAGCCTGTGCTCCATGGCTTCCTTATCTTAAAGGAAAACAAACCTAGCACATCACACAGAAAGAAGTATGTCAGCATTGTCACCTCCTCCACCCATTTGTTAAAATCCACCATGGTAGACCAATTTCTGCACTTTGCCTTCAAATCATATTAGTCATTTCTTCTTCCCTACACAGCCAGGGATTTTTGTAAGCACTTACCTTGGCCAAATCTAAAGGTGTTTTGACCTCTACAGTCAGGTCAGGTTCAGGAAATGCAGGAACTTCCTGTTTGTTTCTTCCTTTCCTCCTACTCCGCTTTAGCTGGTCTACTGATCTCTGTCCATCTAAAATTTCTTTAAAGAATAAAACAAAATACTCACAAATACAAAAAAAGAATAGCAAGGTTTATTATTTAGTTTTCTGTAGGTAAAACCTGAAGGTAATTCTTTTTATTTTATTTATTTATTTTTTTTGTTTTTGTTTTTATTGTTTTTCAAGACAGAGTTTCTCTGTGTAGCTTTATAGATCAGACTTGCCTTGAACTCACAGAGATCCGCCTGCTTCTGTCTCCCAAGCACTAGGATCAAAGGTGTGCACCACCACTACCCAGCTTACAGATAATTCTTAATATTTACAGGCAAGACATGAAGTCAGGCAGAACTACTCTCAATTCAAAACTTCATGACTGTGGTCAATGGTAAATAATTCTAAACAGGGTTGGCGATGGAGAGTGCTCACCTAATATGCAAGCAGCCCTGGGTTGGATCCCCAGGACTGGAAGAAGAAAAAGAAAAAGGAGAACTCGAATAAAAATAAGTGAAAGTTAATAATATAATATTTTACACCATATAATAATGACATATTATTTAGTTTGGTGTTCATTGTTTGTGCTATATAAATGGATACCTCTAAGTGTCATTTATAATCTGTCAATATTTTCACTCAAGTATACACATCATTAAAAATATTTATAAAAATAAGGCTGGAGCCAGGCATGGTGGTGCATGACTTTAATCCCAACACTTGGAGGAAGAGGTGGATAGATCTCTGAGTTTGAGGCCAGCTTAATTTACAAAATGAGTTCCAGAACAGCCAGGACTATACAGAGAAACCCTGTCTTGAAAAAAGAAAAAACAACAAAAACAAAACAAAAACAGGGCTGGAGAGATGGCTCAGCAGTTAAAAGCACTGGCTAGGCATGGCTCAATTTCAAATACACACACATGGCAGCTCAGATCATCTGAAACCCCAGTTCCAGGGAACCCAAGTCTGTCCTCTGTCCTGCAAGGGAACCAGGTGACACAGAAATACATGCAGGTAAAACACTCACACACAAAATAAATAAATAATTTTAAAAAAAGAAAAAATATCTCCAAAATTACTTTTATAAAAGTATTTTTTATGGCTGGGTGTTAGTGGTTCAAGCCTTTTTTAATCCCAACTCTCAGGAGGCAGAGGCAGGCAGATTCTGTGAGTTTGAGACCAGCCTGTCTACAGAGAGAGTTCCAGGACAGGCTCCAAAACAATACAGAGAAATCTTGTCTCGAAAAAACAAAAATAATTTTTTTTTTGTAGTGTTAGGGATTGAACACAGGCTCTCACACATATTAGGCAAGTGTCTTACTACTGAATGAGGACTCAGCCTTTGAAAGGTATTTCTTTAATCCATTTGTTAACTTTTTGAAATTATGCTTTTTTTGTTTTTGTTTTTCGAGACACGGTTTCTCTATATGGCTTTGGAGCCTATCCTGGAACTAGCTCTGTATACCAGGCTGGCCTCAAACTCACAGGTGTGTTCCACCAACGCCTGGCTCTTGAAATTATTCTAAAGCCACAACTATGTCTGGGAACAGATTCTTTCGTTGTTTTTGTTCTTTTTTTTTTTTTGTAAATTTATAAATGGTGGCCGGTACCCAGTATGGTGGAACAGAACACATCTTTAATCCCAGTATTTGGGAGGCAGGCAGAAAAGCCTGATATATTAGAGCAATATTCATTACTAACTGAATAGACCTAAGCAGAAAATATGCACACATGGGATTGTTTAGTTTAGTTGTGAACAAGTAATACCTTGTGGCATAGCACTGTGCTTTAAAGCCGAACATTTATCACTAATACTTCAATTATCTCTTAACCACATTAACTTACCATCTTTCTTCCAGCAATGCTGAAAAGAATCAGAAACCAACTCTTGATCATTCTTTTGCCATTTACTTATAAGATCTTCTATGAATTGACCTTTTTTCCCCTCATTTCCCTGGAGAAGGTCTGCCACATATTCTCGTAGCTCTTCAGCAGTCTCAATTGACAAAACATACCTCAGGAGATAAAGATATAAGTTGTTGACACAAGAATAGCTTACTCTATGACTTTCAGAAATCATAACAGGGATGAAGGTACTAAACACCATTCATCAGGGCTGAGGGTAGCTTAGTCATACAGAACTTGCCTAGCACACATGAGGCTTTAGGTCCCATTCCAGTATTACTCCAGAAACACAAACAAAGAGCATTCATTAATTTATTAAGAGTGTTTACTCTGAGCCATGTACTATGCTAGATGCTAAGGATATAAATTTGATAAGGACAAAGAACCTGATTTCAAATAGGTCATAATCTAACTTACATATGTATTTAGGCATTTACTGTTTCTCAGTATTTTAAGAAATTTGTATGGCTAGAGGAATAGCTCAGCAGTTAAGAGCACTTGCTACTCTTGCAGAGAACATGAGTTCAGTCTCCAGCACCCACATGGTGATTCATAACCACCTGTAACTCCAATTCCAGAAGATCCAGCATCGTCTTCTAACATCTGTGGGCATCAGGAACAAACACAGTGCACATACCTTCATAGGCAAAGCACTTACACACATAAAATAAATCTATCTTTAAAAAAAGAAGGAATTATCCCATCATTGGTAGCACATGTACTAGAAACAGGTGTGTTAAAACTGCAGCCTATGGATTCTATGCACTCCAGGACAGCTATGAATATGGCTCAACATTAAAATCCCCCCCTTCATAATACGATCACATGATTCTAAAGTGTAAACTTTGTAGATGACACTATCTCTCAGACGGTTAAATATGGGATGATGAGACAGCTCAGCAAGCAGAGATCCTTGTCACCAAGCCTAATGACCTGAGTTTGGAGAACCTGGGTGGTAGAAAAAGAGAGTCAACTCCCACAAGCTGTCCTCTGATCTCACATGAGTCCACTAATGTGCATACACATGCATAAATGTCATTTTAATATTCTTAACAGGTTGAATATACTTGTTAGATTCTTCCAGTGTGATAGTAGAAGTTCGGTTATAATCTTTAAAAAAATGTGCATTCATACTTCATTAAGAACATCTGATCAACAGATTTAATTAATTTTGTTTGGTTGGTTGTGCTTTAATTGTTGTGCTTGGGATGGAACCTGGGGCCTTGGAAATATCAGGTAAACTCTTTATTACTGAGTTACATTGCAGTTATCAGACTTAACCAAAAGTAAAAATTAAAAGAGCTGGAGAGATGGAACACTGGAAGCTCTTCCAAAGCACATGAATTCCCAGCATCTGAAACTGGTGACCCAGATGACCTGATGCCCTCTTGTGGTCTAGTAGAGCACTACACACATGGTACACAGACATGCAGGCAAACACCATTCACATAAAAAATAAAAATAAAAGTTTAAAACAGTAAAATAAAAACTTTAAAGAGACAATGCCTAATGCAGTAGCACACACCTTTAACCCCAGCACTTGGGAGGCAGAGACAGGTGGAGCTCTGTGAATTTATGGCCATACTGATCTACAGAGTGAGTTCCAGGACAGCCAGAGCTACACAGAGAAATCCTGTCTCAAAACAAACAAACAAACAAAAATTACACTAAAAAAAAAAAAATCTATAAAGTTATGCTGGAAAGTGTTAGAACATGCTTTTAATCCCAGAACTCAAGAGGCAGAGGCAGGTGGACTCAGTGGTGTTGAGGCCAGCCTGGTTTACAGAGCAGGTTACAGGACAGTCAGGGCAACATAGAGAAACCCTGTCTTGAAAAAAACATCAAAAATTCTTTTAATATTTAGGACACATATCAAATTATTTTCATTCTTACAACATTACATCTGTTTTAGTCTCAAGTAAACGTCAAACAAAGCACAGCAACTGCTTTCATACTGACGTAATAGCTTGATGCCAACTAGTGAACACATAATAAGTACTTCAAACAATACTATAGCATGCTTGACTTGAGTGCTTATGATCGGCATAGTTCTTATGATGCCTTTAAAATGTAAGCAAATGTTAAACCATACTTATAGCTTCAACTTTAAAACTGCCAAGCCAGTTTTTTTTTAATCTATTTTCTCCCACGCTCAGAAAACTGACTGTATTTCTTATAATTTTGGAATAGCAATTTTGTGTTCAGCAACAAAGAATCAAATTAAGGATAAGTCCTAGTTTTTGTTTTGATTTTAATTCAGTTTCTTTTTGTATTCTTCCCCTCAACATGAATACTTTGAACCCCAGCTTCTGCTAATTTAGTTTTCACATGAGAGGCATCTTTCCCAGTACATCTTAAGAGTCTCAAATCATAATCTATCCTTTATTGAATAGTTAATCCAGTATTGGAAAGTGTATTCTGTGCTCCCAGAAGACCCTCAACTTCTTCACATCGCAGAACTGGTCAACACATTAAACCCAATTTGTCTATATCATCTTGGTTGCCCCAGAGACTGATATATAGTAAGGTGAAACAAATTAGTTATTTCAAGAAAATATTAAATAATCGTCATCTGTTCCGTAAGAATTTTAAAACACTAAAGGCAAGCTCTAGTAATAATTCATTTTATAAATGGGGGGAGGATTTGCAAAGGGGTAAGTTAATTTGTTGAAGCTTTCAAAACCGATTAAGTGGCAACAGAAAACCGAAGCGGTGACTCTGCAATCAGGAACTATCTATACTGCCCCATGTCGTCCCCGTGTAAAAATCTACTACAACGTTCAGAATAAGTAATTTCTAGAAAGCCAGTTTTGACTTGTTCACTCTTCACAATGTGCAAGCAAACCTGTTCCCGGGACAATCTTACAGGTCTAATTATTACGATGTTACACTTTCCTAGGAAAGTGAGTGGAGTCTCACATACTTATCTAGGGGCTAAATTGAAAAAAGTGGAGGCCAAAATTCAAACACGAAAGTTCGTCTGCAGCCTCTTTTATCATATTTCTTAACTTTTCAGTCCTCTAGGCTTTCCCGTTCTCCCTACCGGATTGTATCTCAGAGCTGCTTCCCGCCTCGGCCCCGGAGCCCATCTTACTGTATGATTTCCTCGCTGACATCCAGGGCGAAAGTTTTCCGCAACTGCTGTGTGCACCAATGTACTAGAGGTTCCTGAGCCGACGCCCCAGCCACCGCCATCTTTCCAAACCGGAACCAGCTGGGCTGCAAAAGCTGCTCGTCCTGCGCGGGATTAGTTCCCTTCACAACGGCGACCTCGTTGAGTAGGGTTCCGCAAGCTTGCACCGCCCTGCTGGGTCGCGCCGCCTTTGAGGTTGATCCCGCCCACTTGGGCCGCCTCAGGCTTCACTCAGTTTCCGGGTCTATATACACGTGTGTGGGGGCTCCGTGTTTGAGTAAATCTTCAACATAGAGGTCGAACTCCAGAAAGGACTTTGGCAATTGTGCAAAGACAATATGTGCATCTACAGAAGAGCTGTAGTAGGAATAAAAGAAAGGGGACAGCTTTTAAATTTCGTTTGGTTCCAGTGGTAGGACATTTAAAAACAGCTCTCTTCAGGAGGATAACAAACCCAAATCCTACTTGTGGTACGAAGTGAACTCAAAGCCAGTTTTTGTAACTTAGCGACGTCCAGTCTCAAAATAAAAAGGAGATAGGGTGGAGGGAGACTGGGCATAAAGCTCAGTGGTACCCTGTCTATTGAGCATGTAAAAATCTCAGGGTTCAATCCTTAGACAAACAAAGCAAAACAAAACTCCAGCCCGTGCAAGCTATTTGTAAGCACTGTAGTAGTTTTGGTTCTGATGATGGTCGTACTTAATTTTAGTGCCATCTGTAATTGACACTAGAATCACATTGCTATACCACAGGAAGTCTAACGACCATCTGCAAATCCAGTTCCAGTGACCTCTACATTCTGTTCTGGCCACCACAGACAACAGGCATGCATGCAGTGCACATACATACTTGCAGGCACTCACACACTCACACATACACTTTTCTTTTTTTTCCTTCAAGGCAGGGTTTCTCTGTATTGCTTTGGAACCTGTCCTGGAACTCTCTCTGTAAACCAAACTGGTCTCGAACTCACAGAGATCTGCCTGCCTCTGACTCCCAAGTGCTGGGATCAAAGGTGTGTGCCACCAATGCCGGGCTACACACATACACATTTTGAAAAAAACCACAAAGATAAATTACATTAACTGGGCATGGTGGCACATGCTTTTAACCCTAGCATTATAGGAGGCAAAGGTAGGTGAACCCTTGTGAGTTCAAGGCCAGCCTGGTCTATGTAGTAAGTTCCAGACCACCCAGGATTACTAATGAGAACTTGTCTTAAAAAGTTATAATATTGGGGCTGGAGAGATGGCTCAGTGATTAAGAACACTGGCTGCTCTTCCAGAGGTCCTGAGTTTATTTCCCAGAATCCATACAACTTTCTATGCCATAGAATCTATGGGATTCAATGTTCTCTTCTGGTCTGCAGGTGTACATGCAAACAAAACATCAATAAACATAAAATAAATAAATCAATCTTCAAAATTTATATTATCTTATTTTGTGTTTCTCCATGTGTACATATGTAGGTGGGCTACCGGAAATGCACAATGCACATGTGACAGTCAGGACAACTTGTGGAAGTGAGTTCTTTCCTTCTACAAAATGGGTCCTGAGCCTTTACCTTCTAAACCATTTTTTGTTTTCGTTTTCATTTTTGTTTTTTGAGACAGGGTTTTTCAGTATTGCTTTGGAACCTGTCCTGGAACCACTCTGTAGACCAGACTGGCCCCCAACTCACAGAGATCATCCTGCTTCTGTCTTCTGAGTGCTGGGATCAAAGGCATGTGCCACCAATGTCTGGCTTCTTCTAAACTATTTTGCTGGCCCACCAGCTTTTTTCAAAAAGGAAAATACAGTGTTCAGTAATGATGAGAATAAATTTTATCTTTTCATAAAAATTGGATGCATTCATTATTAATTCTAATGTATTCAAATAATCTATGCTTTTCTATATTTATTCATTCCCATAGCTTAGTAGCTTGGTACTTAACATATGCAAGGCCTTGAATCACATCTCCAACAGCAAGGTATAAATTTAGACAGAAATCCCTTTTATACACATTCCCAGCCCCCAAGTAGCCATTTTAATTAAACATTTGGTTAAGTATCATCCTTTTTTGTGTGTTTTTCTCTAACATACATACCTCATCAACCTCATTGGTGTTAAAAGACAAACACAGAGCAATCACAACTACAATAATATGTAGATTGTCCTTGAATGAAGGGGTATATTTGACATTTTCTCTTGCTATTTTCTTGAAGTGCAAGAGAAAACTCTCTCTCTCCTCTCTCTCTCCCTCCCTCCCCTCTCTCTCTCTCTCTCTCTCTCTCTCTCTCTCTCTCTCTGTCTCTCTCTCTCTCTAGGTCCCTTCTCTGCAGGACTCTGGAGACCTAAGTAGAAGGCCTTTAACTGAAAAGGAAACAATGCCTCATGAAAATTCACATTGAGGCTAAATGACAATAAAGGACTGCTTGTTGATTGGCTTGTTAATTTTTCTGATGGGAATTTGGTTGTAATCTAACACTCCAGAGTTAAGATAAACTAGTATTGCTAATATTATGTTAATTCAACGACTGCCTAAACCCTTTCATTATTTTCATTTTTAATTATTTATTTTTATTTCATGTGCATTAGCATTTTGCCTGCATGTATGTCTGTGTGAGGGTGTCAGATTCCCTAGAACTGGAGTTACAGACAGTTGTGAGCAGTCATGTGGGTGCTGGGAATTGAATCTGTGAACCTGGGGCCTCTGGAAGAGCAACCACTGCTCTTAACTGTTGAGCCATCTCTCATCTATTTTGGGGAGTCTTTCTTTGTTTTGTTCTTCCTCTCCTCTCCTTTTCTCTCCTCTTCTCCCCTCCCTCCCTCTCCTCTCCTCCTTTCCTTCTCCCCCTCCCCTCCTCATCTTTCCTCTCCTCCTCCCCTCCTTTTTCTCTCTTCTCTCCTCCTCCCCTCCTCCTTCCCTCTCCCTCTTCTCCTCTCCCCTCCCTTCTCCCCTTCTCTCCACTCTTCTCCCCTTCCCTTTCCCTTCTCCTTCCTTTTCTTGTCTTGTGGTCTAGCCCAGACTGACAAGGAACTCACTATCTGCCTGTTTCTGCCTCCTTAGGACTGAGACTACAAGGTGCACTGGTCCTGTCTTTGAAATCTTTAGGTTGTATAACACAATGAATTGTTGATTTGGGTAAGGTCCTGAGTAGGTTTTGTTGTTGTTCAAGCCTAATTCACTGAAGAGAAGTAGCTCTGTACTTATACTTTGAAGCTTGACTTTCAAACAAGCATTAATGGAAAGCATCCTGCAGCAAGCAAAAATAGTTTTGTTCCATGTGTGGCATTCAGGAAAAACATAAATTCTTAGAAATATTGTTATTTTTGAAGCATAGGGTCAGAAAAAAATTTATGATCTCTTTAATGTAGTGTTATTCTCATGTAGCCTTTTTACATTTGGTAAATGTGTAGCTCTGTGGCCATGTTTATTTACTTACTTTTATATATGTATGGGAAATTTGTCCAATTTTTTTAGTCTTACGTGATCTGAAACATTTTTTTTTAAAAAATGAAGTTGCATTTTCCTTTCTCCCATCTCAGAAAGTTATTATAAAACACCACAGAGTTCATTCTTAGGATATTAAACTTTAGCTCTGATTTGCATGGGAAAGTCCATTTAATTTTAATTTTCACTTTCAGGGTTTAATCACCATGGATTTAACTATGTGGTAACTTTTGAAGAAATATTGTAATTTCTATCTTTACTAGGTTTTTTATAAGCCGAACCACTTGGCTAGTTCACAGCCTACCTCAGTGCCCACACTTGGCACACCCCTGGAACATCCTGGCACCACCCACCAGGAGTGGGTACGAATCACGACCACTGGTGCTGATGGACTGGCCAGCAAAGCCTGGTCTCAAGGCTGTCATCCGCTGGACGCTGCCAATTGGTTCGGGGTGAAGGCGCGGAACCAATAAGAGCCACGATTCTCAAGAGCTTGGAGCGCGCGGGAAAGAAACCCATTTAAACTGTGGCGGGAACGTCATTTTCGGGTTTTTGTCCAGTTAAGACATCTGCAGCTGGGGAGTCGGTGCGAGTTGTCTCTTCCTGTGTGAACATGGTGCGGACCAAAGCAGACTACGTCCCGGGAGCCTACAGAAAAGGTGAAGGGATACAGCGCGGGGTCAGGGCCTCCCCAGGCAGCCTGTCCCTGGGGTGGAGACTACCCGTGGCTGACCTCATCGAGCCCAGCTAGGAAGCCGGCTCCAGGCTCTCATGTCGAGGAAGCTAAGGAGACCGGACAAGGTCGTTCTGCTGCTGTGCATCACCCTACTCTACACCAGTCTGGGACTGGTAGAGCAAGGCTCGGGGGTCGTAGCTCTCCAACCTCTTCTGAATGCCCCCCTTTACCTCTCTTTGCAGTGGTTGCTTCTCGAGCCCCCAGGAAGACGCTCGGCTCTTCCACCTTTGTCACAAATTCTTCATCGTGTTCCTCGAGAAAAGGTAGGAAGGGTCCTGGAAGCTTAGGAAGTAAAAGAAAACCCCTGAAAGGAGATCAGGCTTGGCATAGCAGTTCTCAACCGTGAGGCCCTGACCCACGGTGGATTTATTTAGTTTATTTTTATTTACATTTAGTTTCCTTCCTCTGGAATTTGTTTCTTTTGACATCCTCACTCCTAAACTTCTTCTCTGCCCTCTAAGGATGCCTTGGTCTTTCAGCAGGCTTGGTTTGGTGTACAAGGGTCATGGAAAACTCTGTTAATTTTTAAACCCATTTTTCTTTGTTGAATGGGGTTTTAAATTTTTTTCTTAATATTAAGTTACTATTTTCTTGGAGGCTACTTAAGCGCCTCCTCATTAGATTTAGAATGGTGGTTGACACTTCCACATTTTTGGTAGGTGTATGTAAGTGTGGGGTGTGTGTCTGTCTGCCTATCCACTGCATTTGAAATCTCTGGGCCTTGCCACTGAACTACATCTTCAGGACACTGTCCCAGTACAACTACCTTTCTGCCTTTGATTGTGTTTCTCTCTCCCTCCCCCTCTGCTCCCCCTTTCCTTCCTGCCCTTCCTACCTTTCTTCTCTCCCTCCCTTCTTCCCTCCCTCTTCCTCCTCCCAAAGTCTCGTGTAGCCCAGGCTGTCCTCAAAGTTTCTATATACAGAGAATAACTTTGAACTCCAGGTCCTTCAGCCCTCTTTCTGATCCTTCTGCCTCTACCTCCGCAGTGCTGGTATACATGTATGTGCCATGGATGCCTGGTTTATTTTGTGCTGGGGATCTAAGTCAGGGCTTTGTGCATGCTAAACAACTCTACTAATGGAGCCACATTCACAACCTGCTCTCCTTCTTCACTCTCTCTCCCTCCCGATTGCTAGGAGTCCAAGTGTATACTACCACACCTTGCTTTGTTTTTTTCTTTTTTCTTTTTTTTGTTTTTGTTTTTGTTTTTAGATGGGATCCACAGTATATTGCCCAGGCAGCCATTAAAGCCCTCCTGCATTTAGCCTTCTGAGTAGGTAGGATCACAGCACAGGAGTTAGCCACCATACCTGATAATTCATAGTTTTTGTGCCAACACCCCCAACCCATATCATTGTTTATTTGAGACAGTGCATTTGGCCAGATTGCTTTGATTCTCTTCTGCCTCAGTCTCTGTAATGCTAAGATTACAGGCATGTACTTACACCATACTCAGACCTCAATTTTACAGAATCTAAAAAGTTCATTAGAAAATAGTTACTATTTCCACTTTTTCAGATAATACAGTAATAAACAATTTTTTTGAGAGTAGATAAACGTATTCAGAATGTCTTATATTTTGTACAACTAGAGTAAATTCTATCAAGGCCAGCCTACTGCTGAATCACTAGAGCTAATTGAATAGGCCTTTAATATGTGTTTAACAGCCTGGAAAAGAAGTGCATGTCTAAGTGCTCTGGAGCCTGAGGCAGGACTATTGTATATTCAAAGCCAGCCTGGGCTATCAGGTGAGTACCAGGTGTGCCGGGAGTCCTAGCAATATGCCGTTTCACAAGAATAATCAACAAAACAAGAAGTGGCACATGCTTGTAGCCTTGGCATTTGAGAAGTAGAGGCAGAGGATCAGAAATTCAAGGCCAGCATCAGCTAAAGTGTGAATGTGAAGTCAGCTGGGTTATATAAAATACTGACTCACCCACCCCTCTCTGCCAATAAAATAAAAATGGTCATAGATTTGTAGTATTTTCATTCTAAAATATTTTTATACATATACTTATTGTCTGTGTTTGTGTATTTGTGTGTGTGTGTGTGCTCCTATATGCATGGATTTGCACACTATTACACACATGGAACTCAGGACAATTTGTGGAAATCAGTTCTCTGAAAGTCTGATATTAAAGAAAGGCAATTATATTTGTTTTTATTTAGTTCTGTTTCTATTTTATAGCTGAAAATAAGTATGCAGGAGGGAATCCAGTCTGTGTGCGCCCAACTCCAAAGTGGCAAAAAGGCATTGGAGAATTCTTCAGGCTGTCCCCTAAAGACTCTGAAAAAGAGAACCATGTTCCTGAAGAAGCGGGATGCAGTGGCTTAGGAACAGCAAAGAGAAAGTAAGTGTCTATGTCTGGGAGAAAATATCCCCCAGAATAAAAGACAAATGGGATAGGGAGTAATTTTAATGTTTCTCTTCAAGCTAAGAAAATGAAACTATACTTTTTAAAACAGTATTTATTATTTATTATGTGTACAGTGTTCTGCCTGCATGTTATACCTGCAGGCCAAAGAGGGCACCAGATCTCATTACAGATGGTTCTGAGCCACCATGTGGCTGCTGGAAATTGAACTCGGAACCTTTGGAAGAGCAGCCAGTGCTCTTAGCCACTAAGCCATCTCTCCAGTCTGAAAACTATGCTTTAACTTCTAATAATTTCTTATCACTCTAAAATTTCAAATCTTTCTCTCTCTTTTTTTTTTTCTTTTTCTTTTTTTTTTTTTTTTTTTTTTTTTGTTTTTGTTTTTGTTTCTGTTTTTTTGAGACAGGGTTTCTCTGTGGTTTTAGAGGCTGCCCTAGAACTAACTTTTGTAGACCAGGCTGGTCTCGAACTCACAGAGATCTGCTTGCCACTGCCTCCTGAGTGCTGGGATTAAAGTCGTGAGCCACCACTGCCTGGCTTAAATTTCAAATCTTTCAAAAATTAATTTTTAATTACTCTAAAGAGACTTGATTCCTATTCATTTATTATTTCTCTGATTTTTACAGTTTTGTTTTTGTTTTTTCTTTTTGTTTGTTTTTTGTTGTTGTTGTTGTTGTTGTTTGAGGCATGGTTTCTCTGTTTAATAGCCCTGGCTGTCCTGGAACTCATTCCAGGCTGGCCTTGAATTCACAGAGATCCACTTGTCTATACTTCCAAGGGCTGGGACTAAAAGTGTGGACCACCATCACCCAGCTTGTTTTGTTTTTTGAGACAGTCTCTGTATGCAGCTCAGGATACTTGCACTAAGGGCTGGGATGAGAGGCATGAGCTACCACACTATATAGTCTGCCTCCTTTCCTCTTTCCCTCTCTTCCCTCCTTTTGTTCAATTTTTTTCCAAAAACAAATTGCTATGTCAGTTCATCTAGTTTGAATTCCATTGATCGATCACCTTATGCCCCACCAGATTACTAGTTAAGAACTGAGGGTATGGCTCAGAGTAAGTCTCATACTCAGTGGGCATGCAGTGCTAGGTTTAGTCTCCAGTTCCAAAACAAGTAATAACACTGTGTCTTGAACTTTCATAAGAAATATATAATTAACAGAGAGAAAGTAAACAGAAATCAGTCTATAGAAACAATCAATAATAATGCCATATTTTATTATTTGTTTGTTTGAGATAGGGTCTCAATTATGAGGCTCTGGCTGTCTTAGAATTCACTATGTAGACTAGGCTGGCCTTGAACTCAATAGAGAGCCATCTGCCTTCTGAATGCTGGAATTAAAGGCACCACCATGCCAGCTTGTTTTTAAGATTAATGAAATATGAATGCTAATGATGAATGTTGAGCTAAAGCATGTACTGCTCCTGCAAAGGATTCAGGTTTGGTTCCCAGTACGTACATGGCAGCTCACAACTGTATGTAACCCCAGTTCCATGGATTCTGATGCCTCTTCTGACCTACTTAGGTCCCTGCAGCATGTGATGTACATACATACAGCTGGGCACAAACACACATGTACCCATAAAATAAATGTATCTAAAGATAATTTTTTTTAAAAAAGTGCAATCTGCTTTGTAAAACATACACACACTATAACAAGTCCAGCAATTATTTATCTGGGTAAAAACTTGTCTTATATTATATACTATCAACTTCTAATAATCAACATCTATCACTTAGTAAGAATCACAAAAAATCCAGGCATGATGGCCCATGCTTTGAATCTCAGTACTCAAGAGGCCAAGGCAGGTGGATCTTTGTGAGTTCCAAGGCAGCCTAGTCTACACAGTGAGTTCCAGGACTACACAAAGAAATCCTCCTTGTCTTGGGGGGAAAAAAAAAAACAAAAAAGAAAAGGGCTGAGACAGAACTTGGTGGAAAAAACTTAGCATGTTTGAGGCATTAGCTTCATTACTCTGAACCTAAGGGGGAAAAAAGGAAAAGGAACAAAGGAATTTAGAAAAAAAGTATTTGAGGGCTGGAGAGATGGCTCAGAGGTTAAGAGAACTGACTGCTCTTCCAGAAGTCCTGAGTTCAATTCCCCACACCCACATGGCTCACAGCCATCTATAAGGAGATCTGGTGTCCTCTTCCAGCCTGCAAGCATGCATGCAGACAGAACACTGTATACGTAGTAAATAAATTAAGAAAAAAAAAAAAGAAGAAAAAGTATTTGAATTCTTATAGGTTTATAAGTATTGAAACCAAGGCACACACCATGGAGGGTATGTGGAAGTCAGAGGACAACTTTCAGAAGTCAGTTCTGTTTCTACCTCTACATGGGTTTCAGGGATCGAACTCAGGTGTCCAGATTCAAATGACATGCAAGCACTTTTACCAGCTGAGCCATTTCACTGCCCCCTGATTTTTTGAGAAAGGGTCTCACTCTGTAGACCAGGCTGGGAGTGGAACTCACAGAGATCCAATTGCCTCTGTCTCCTGAGTGCTGGGATTAAAGTTGCATACAACCACTTCTTGTCCACTATTCCTCTTTTAAATGTTTTAATTCTAAAAGATATTATTTGCAAGATTGAGGCCAGTCTGAACCACCTAATATCCTGTGGTTAAACAAACAAACAAAAAAACCCCAAAAAAAAAAAAAAAAAAAAAAACCAGCTGGAAAGATGGCTCAGCCATTAAAGGCTAGGCTCACAACCAAAAGAAAAACAAAGAAAGGACTTGCATGTAGAGAGGGTGTGGCACCATGACACTGTCATTGTGATGTCTTCATGACCTGGTTTATAATCCCCACACCAGCCAAAAGCCTAGAGAACTTCCAGCTCAACAAGCAGCAAGCCGGACACTCAGTACCCTGATGCTTGGGAGTGAGAGGATGTTGATCAGACTCTGTTTGGGGCTGTTGCTCCTTGTGGTCCTCCCCATGCAGGTTGAGTCATTTGTTCCTTTAACCAGCACAATGGGCCCTACCTACTATGGAACTGACGAACCTGATGAAACCACAGCATCCTCCAGTAGCTCCTTAAAAGCTATAACCAATCTCCTAGGGGTCTTGCTTGCCTTTCTGTGTCTTATCCGTTAAGAGCCTCAGACCAGATCACATTCTAAAATTGGACCAAGTGGCACCTGCAAATCCAGTGTTGCAAGGAAAACAAGTCTTCACATCTACTCATCTCACTGGTTTTAGTAACAGAAAATCTTGAGAGGCTCAAACTGGACTGCCTTGAAGATCATCTCAAGGGTTAATTAGATGGTGAATACTCCACATATGACAATAAAGAGAAAGACAATGCTGAACATGGATTAATGGTTTCATTAAATGTGGTTTATGGCTGGGTGGTGGTGCCATACGCCTTTAGTTCCAGCACTCAGGAGGCAGGAGGATCTCTGTGAGTTTGAGGCCAGCCTGACCTAAAAGTGAGTTCTAGAACAAGCCCCAAAACTACAGAGAAACTCTGCTTCCAAAAAAAAAAAAAGTTTATGAAAATAATTTCACTTTAATAGAAAGTGTGCAGTGTGGAATGGAGATTCAGTGTTCTTTATGGTTCACTAAATGTAAAGGCCTATAAAGTAATTAGGAAATATGAAAAGATCTCAGATTTTACTTTGGAAGGAAGTACAAGGTATTACTGTAAATTCTTTTCTTTGCTATTCTGTGTTAGAAAGTTGAACCCTGGGATTTATAAGTATTAGGCAAACTCTATCACTGTGCTATAGTCATTTAACTGTCTGTGCCTTCCTTTCTCTCTTTCTCTCTCTTGTTTTTTTTTAAGACGAGGTTTCTTTCTGTAGCTCTTCCTGACCTGCAACTTGCTCTGTAGACCAGGCTGTCCCGTAACTTAGAGATCCTTTTGTGTTTGCCTCCTGAGTGCTGGGATTAAAGGCCTGTGCCACAACTGCCCAGCTCAGACTAGCCTTGAACAAATATCAACCCTCGTACCTTCACCTCGTTGCCTCTCTGATTTGGGGATTGGAAGTGTGAGCCAACATACTTGGCTGCATTTAGCTTTTTAGCTTTTTGTATAGTAACACTGGGGCAATGATGGGTTTGAATCTATTTCCTAAGTCATCCCTCTCTACCTGGCAACCCAGACTTACTTTTTGTTCTCTGTCCTCCTGTTTTGGCCTCCATAATGATGAGGCTATAACTATGCTATGCACTAGGCCTGGAGATATACGTCAGTGACAGAAGGCTTATCAGTACAAGGCCCTGAGTTCAAGCACTTAACACTGCAAAAAGATAATGCATTTGATAGGCATTTTACACCATGCTCAACTAGTAACTTTTTAGAAGATTTATTTTTATTTATGCATATATGTATGTGTCTGTATGAGTATATGTATACCTCAAAAGTGCAGGTACTTATAAAGGTCAGAGGGCATGGATCCCCTGAAACTGGAGCTAAAGGTGGTTGTGAGCCACCTGATGTAGGTGCTGAGAACTGAACTGTGTCCTCTGTAAGGACAGTAAGTGCTCTTGGCTACTGAACCATCTCTAGCCCACAACTCATTCTTACATATATATACTTAAAAGGTACAGAGGTCAGTTTGGGTTACCTGAGACCCTGTTTCTAAATAAATGAAAACAAGACAAAAAAAAATGACTTTCCATTACATGGAGACAAATTATATATTTAGTATCATAAGTTAATTTAATCTGTAGTAAATTAGTAATAGGCAGACATGGTGACACATGCCTTAATTACAGAGGTTGAGACAGATCATGAGTTCAAAGCCATCCTAGAATATATAATGAGATATTCTAAAAAATACAAAACCAGGAATGGGAATATAGCTCCATTGTAAAGTACTTGTCTAGCATATGTCCTGGTTCAGTTCAGAACAACCAAACAAGAAAACTCAAAACAACAAAAACTAGATTCTAGAGGTTGACACTATTTTTAGGCCACTTTTGTAGATCTGCCATTGTTTAGGAAAATTGTGATTATTCCTTTATTAAAATAGTAAATGAATATATCAGAAGGAATAAGAACTTCTGAATTCAGTCATTTTTGCCCCAAAGCTGGGAAAGCTCCTATTGCATGTAGAACTATTTGCATAAATGTTTTTCCCTTCTTAGTCATTTTCTAAAAGTTATGTTTAGTGTGAAAGTATCTATATATACGTGTGTGTGCATGCACCATGCATGTTTATGCGAGCATGTGCAGTAGCACATGTATGGCAGCCAGTGGACATTCTGCAGGAGTTGATTTCCTTCTACCATTGAACTCAGGCAATCAGGCTTGGTGGCAAGCACCTTTACCTGCTGAGCCATCTTCTTGGCCTTCTCTTCTAGTCTTTGACTTCAAATTAGTCACAGTGGCTTTGTATTTTCTTTCATTTCTCTAAAATATATATATTTTTTTAGTTATACAGGCAGTGGGTTTTATTTATATTTTAAAACTTACTAAGCCAGGTGGTGGTGGTACACATCTTTAATTCCAGCACTAAGGAGGCAGAAACAGGCAGATTTCTGTGAGTTTGAGGATCCAAGACATCCAGTGCTATACAACACAGTGAAACTCTGTCTCAAAAAAACCACCCTCCCCACTCAAAAAACTTTAGTGTGTGTGTGTGTGTGTGTGTGTGTGTGTGCACACGTGCGAGCGTGTGCGTGCACGCTTCTGCCACAGTGCATCTATGGAGGTCAGAGAACAATTTCTAGCAGTTGGTTCTTCTACTATTGTATCCAGAGATCAAATTTGGGTTGTGGCAAGTGCCTTTACCCACTGAGACATCCCAATGGCCCCATTTTCATCTTCACACTATTATACTTCAGTCTTATTTGTCTCCCTGTACTGACTTGCCCTTCTTGCACATCCCTTTCCTCTTCCTTGCTTCTGAATTTCATCACATATATCTGTTTTGTAAATGCAAGTATATATAAATTTAATCTAAATTCTGCATATGAAAGAAAACATTCAATATATGTCTGTCAAAGTCTTGGTTATTGAATGTAACATGATCTTTAGTTTAATCCATTTTCTTGGAAATGTTAATTTTTTAAAAGAGATTTTATTTAAAATAAAATTTAAATATTAAAAAATTTAAAAAAATGTACATGTGTGGGTGTGCCCACAGAGACTGGAATAGGGCTTTGGATACTTTGGAGCTGTAGTTACAGGTTGTTAAACTGTTCTTCTTGGTGCTGGATATGAATTGTCTTCTGCAAGAGCATTAAGCACTCCTAACACCAGAGCCATCTCTCTGGCCTATAAATGTCATTTCATTTTTTTATAGCTAAATAAAATTCCATTGTGTATATGCATCAAATTTTCTTTATGTATTCATCTGTTGATATGTATGCTAGTTCATATTTTTGCTGTTGTGATCAGTACAGCAAGCATCTGCTTAAATTGTGTGTGTGTGTGTGTCTGTGTGTGCACAAGTACAGATGTGAATATACATTTGTACATGTGGAGGCATAGGTTCACACTGAGTGTCTTCTTTTTTTTTTTTTTTTTTTTCTAGGACAGGGTTTCTAGGTAGTCCTGGCTGTACTGGAACTCACAACTCACTCTGTAGACTAGCCTAGCCTTGAACTCAGAGATCTGCCTGCCTCTGTCTCCCAGGTACTGGGATAAAAGGCATGTGCACCACCATGTGCATCAAGCCTGGCTTCAAATATCTTTTTAAAATCACTCTGTGCCTTATTTTTCTTTTCCTACTTTTTCTTTTTTCTTTTTTCTTTTCTTTTCTTTTCTTTTCTTTTTTTTTTTCTCCTTTTTTGAGACAAGGTTTCTCTGTGTAACTTTGGAGCCTGTCCTGGAACTTACTCTGTAGACTAGGCTGGCTTCAAACTCACAGAGATCCACCTGCCTCTGCCTCCCAAGTGCTGGGATTAAAATCATGTGCACCACCGCCTGGCTAGGATATTTCTATGTACCACAAGCTGTCCCAGAACTCACTATGCAATGCAAGCAGAACTTGGAATTTGCAGGAATCTTTGTGACTCAGCCTCCCAGTATGGGAGTTATACACTGAGATTTGCACTTTTATTATTTTTTTATTGCTTTGTAATATTTATTTCATTTTCATGTGTGTGGGTTTATGCAGTTGTGTGCAGGGTTACCTGTAAGGCCCAAAGAAGGTACTGAATCCCCTGAAGCTGGGAGTTCCAGGAAGGTGTAAGCTATCTGATGTATGTCCTATGAACTAAACTGTTGTTCTCTTCAAGAATGGATGAGTCATCTCTCCATTTTGTTTCTTGTTTTGTTGAGACACTGTCTTTCCACATAGTGGCTGATCTGCTATTTGGTATGCAGACCAGAGTAGCCCCAGGTGTAATTCTTCTGCCTCAGATTCTCTAGGTGCTGGGAGTTATTGGCATATACTACCTACCTGGCTGAGATGCTCCTTTTAAATAAAACGCACATGTCCTAAATGAAAAATGCAGATTTAATGAACAACAGAGAATAGTGTTAAAAAAAATTGTCGCACTAGTTCTTGGAATTTGTTTATACTTAATAATTATTGGAGTTTAATGTTCTTTCATTTCCAATTACTTGAGCAGACCTACTTTATTACTAATGTTCTGATTTTATAAACAGTTGATACTTGAGTGATTTAAGTTCTCTTCTTTACAGAGCATGTCCTTTGCAACCTGATCACACAGATGAAGAAAATGCATAGAACTTACTCATCTGAATAATGTCTTCAGTTTACTTAGGTATTCTGGGATGTAAATTTGGGTAGATGTGTTTGTTCAATTGACTTGTTGAATAGGCATTTAGTTAATGGAAGGCACTAAAATTTAGCCATTCAAAAGCAACTGGTTATAAAAGGGAGAAGTTTTATAATTTGTAAATTATAATTGCATACTTGAATTTATAATGTCATGATATGTTACAGCTTCTTTTACCTGTTAAGCTTCTTGCTAAAATCAACATTGCATGATGTTTGAATTACCAATCTACTGTCTTTGAGATTTGCCTAGATCTTTGTTTTAATATCATTTTATGGGAACTTGATTATTGAAATAGTATTATTGTTATGGTCTGTTTGCTTTTAAAAGTCCACTTAGTCTTTTTCACATTAAAAAATCTGTAATAATTAAATTTACTCTCTTGTCATTTTTCCAGATTGGGGGAGAACAAAGAAAAAATGTTGAAAAAGTTAGTTGTATATTTTTTTAAGAAAAGTTAGGTGGGTATGGTGGTACATACCTTCAATCCCAGTATTTGGGAGTCAGAGGTAGGCCATCTCTTTGTGTTGGAGGCTACCCTGGTCTACAGATGGAGTTCCAGGACAGCCAGAGCAGTTGTACAGAGAAACTCTGTCTCAAAAAAACAAAAACAAAAAACAAAAAAAAAAAAAAAAAGAAAAGAAAGAAAAGAAACTACAAATAGAATCAGGAATAGAGATTCCATAGATATATTGAAAGAATTTTCCTTGGTTATACATTTAGTTCAAGATCCATACGTTTTTCTCTCCTCCCCTAACACAGAGTCTCTCTGTGTAGTTCTGGCTTTCCTGGAACTCGCTTTGTAGACCAGGCTGGCCTCAAACTTAGAGATCTACTTGTCTCTGCCTCCTGAGTACTTTGATTAAAGGCTTGTGCCACCATGCCCAGTTTTTGTCTATATTTTTAAAGTTGGAAAAGATTTGAAAAATCATGCTATAAATCAAGTTTTATGTTTCAAGTCCTTAGAATTTTCCCTTCATTTCTCAAGATGGTTTGAGAACATTGATGAGATAGATATAGGAATAATTGTTTTGAGGCAGGATCTCATTATCTAGCCTCTAAGTAGCCTGAACTCAATTTGTAGAGCAAGCTAGACTTGAACTCACAGAGATCTGTCTGTCTCTATATTCCAACTGCTGGGAATAAAGGTCTGTGCCACTATGTTAACTGATATACTTGACTTGCTCATTGTGTTTTGTTTACTGACCACTATCAATTTTCAAAATTAACCATGTTTAAAATATTCAGTTTTACAATACCATATCCATTTGTGTTTCCTACCATGTATACTATTTTATCTCCAAATACAAATGTACTGGTTTCATTTTTTTAAAAATATATTTACATATTGTTTGAGGCCAGCTGATTAAAAATTTTTCTTTTACTTTAGACATTAAGCAGAACCTCTTTTAATCCCAAGTAACTTTGAATATAATGTTTCTTGTTTCTTCCTCTGTTTGTGGTTTTGGCTTTTTAAATAAAGATTGATTTTTATTTTGTGTGTATGAGTGTTTTGCCTGCATGTGTGTATACGGACCATGCATGTGTCTGGAGCCAGAAGAGAGCCTCAGTTCTCCTAGACCTGGAGTTTAGAGACAGTTGTTAAGTTGTTGAATGGGGGCTGGGAACTGAACCTGGGTCCTCTGCAAGAGCAGCAAGTACTCTTAACCACTGAATCCCTATCCCGTGTTTTACTTTCTTTAGAGGGTCTCACCAGAGCTCAGGTTGAACTGAAATTCTCTGTAGCACAGGCTGGTCTTGAGCTTGAGGCAGTCATCCTCAGTTTTACAAGTGCTGGGATTACAGGTATTTGCTGACTCAAGGGGTAAGTTTGTTTTTTGTTGTTGTTATTTGTTTGTTTTATTTTTATTTTTTGACACAGGGTTTCTCTGTGCAACCCTGGCTGTCCTGGAACTCATTTTGTAGATTAGGCTAGCCTCAAATTCCAAAGATTCACCCACCTCAGCCTCCTGAGGGCTGGCATTAAAGGTGTGCACCACAATGGCTGATTTAGGTTTGTTTTTAACTACATTAAACGAAGTCCTTTTTTTTTTTTTTCTTTTAAATTTACCTGTTTATATTTTATGTAAGAGTGCCCTGCATATATACCTGCATGCCAGAAGAGGGTATCAGATCCTATTATAGATGGCTGTGAGCCACCATGTGGTTGCTGGGAATTGAACTCAGGACCTCTGGAAGAGTAGCCAGTGCTATTAACTGCTGAGCTCTCTCTTCAGCCCCTAAACCAAGTCTTTTAAAGTCAGGTTTTAGTGGCTCTGACATCTGATTTGCTCTTTTTTCACTAGTAGAGCTACTTTATGTTGGTGAGCCTAATAAGTTCCAATTTTGATGTATATAATTACCAAAATGTAAAATGTATTGATTTATTTACTTCCAGTGTGTGTGTGTGTGTGTGTGTGTGTGTGTGTGTGTGTGTGTGTGTGTCTCAGAGGACAACTTGTGATTGTCAGTGCTTTCCACCAGGATCAAAAGTTCAGATCCTCAGGCTAGGCAGGAAGCATCTTTACTTATTGAGCCATCTTTCCAGCCCCTTTCTGCCTCTTCCCTGCCACCCCTTTTTGAGATAGGTCTCCCTATAAGCAGCTTATAAATTCTCCTATACTTAAGACTCTTCCAGATTGACTCTTTCTTAGAAAAACTTAAAGTTTAGGAGGGTCTTGTCCAACCAACAATGTCATAATTGGTTCTTTTGTTTGTTTTTAAATCTTTGAGAATAGTATACAGAAAAGGAACAGATTGTCATCAAATTTGGAAGATTGTTAGAAGCCATCTTGTTCAACCCAAGCCATCTTTGTGATTATTCAACAACTATAATTGTAAAAAACTGTTGAGTTTGAGTTGTTTTAACTCTCATATATTTTTTTTGGTCCATTCTTGAAAGAACATGCTATTCCACATGTCAACCTTCAGTTATTTAAAAATAATTGTTATATCTTTAGTCTTCTCTTCCTCAGGTTTAGATTTTATTGTTTGTCACATATCCTGAGTTTCTCTGATTCACTTGTGTATCTTTTAAATTGTTTATTGCTTAGACACAAAAATGGTTAATTTGGCTAAATTTCATCTTATAGGCTCTGTATATTCATCATAAGCTATTCATTTCTAGCTTGGTATTATTTTTAGTGGGTTATTTTTATTTTATGTACATTGGTGTTTTGCCTGCATATCTGCCTGTAAGGCTGTCAGACCTTCTGGAACTGGAAATACAGACAGTTGTGAGCTGCCTCGTGGATGCTGGGAATAGAAGCCGGGTCTTCTGGAAGAGCACCCAGTGCTCTTAACTACCAAACCATCTCTCTAGCCCTGAGTTTAGTAATTTTTTACATTTAGAGAAACCATATGAACTCTAGCAGTTTTACTGTTGTAACTCAGATTGGTCTTGAACTTGATTCCCTGATCTGTCTTTCTGAGACAGGTGTTTGCTGCCATATCTAGCACTCTAACACTAGCACTCTGGTTAACTAATAACTAGAGTACTGAGTTTCCCAAAAAAGCATCAAATTTGCTTTTTTAATTTTTTTATTTTTATTTTTTTAAAGATTTACTTATTTTATTTTATGTGTAGGAGTATTTTGCATGCCATGGATCCCCTAGAACTGGAGTTAGAAACAGTTGTGAGTTGCCATGGGAATTGCTGGGAATTGAACCCAGGTCCTCTAGAGGAGAATCATGTGCTCCTAACTGCTGAGCCATTTCTCCACTCCCCAAATTTGCTCTTTTTATTGTTTAGTCCAGGCTGGGTTACAATTCATGTCAATCCTTTTGACTGAATTCTGAAGTGCTAGAATTACAGGCACCATTATAAAGAAAATAAAATTAAAAGGTGAATTTAAAAGACACTATTAGGAGGCTGGAAGTTCCATAGTAATCATATACGATGAAGGTACTATCCTGGTTTATGAAGACAATTGAGATCTAGCATACATACATAGTACTGTTTTACAGTTCATATTAAGAATATATCTTGGGTTGGGTGGTGGTGGTGGCACACCTTTGATCACAGTATTGGGGAGTTCGAGACCAGCCTGGTCTATAAGAGCTAGTTCCAGGACAGGCTCCAAAGCTATACAGAGAAACCCATCTTGAAAAAACAAAAAAACAAAACAAAACCAAAAGAGTATATCTTGGGCCAGCTACATAAGGCGAAGGGAAGGGCAGTTGCTGCTAATGCCAAGCCTGGCAACTTGAGCTCAATCTCTGGGATGAATGTGGTTGAAGAAGAGAAGGGCTCCTTTGGTATATTCTCTGATTTACACATTCACAGTGGTATGCTGGCATCAACATACCTACACACAAATAAATATAATCAAAGAATGTGAATTCTTACAAAATTATAAAAGCATAGTTAAACTCACACATGTAGGTTAGGACTTTGCTACTCATCTTTCAAAGTCTCCAAGCAATGAGTATGTCAAAAATGAAAGAATTACAAGCTCATGTGATTATTTAGGACTCAATCCAGTTTTTCATACAATAGAAAAGTGAATTAAAAAGAAAAAAAAAACCCAAAGCTCTAAGAAAGGAGTTAAATGCTGCTTATAAACCTCTCCAGGCAGTATGTGCTTTTCCATATTAGCTTAAGCTCATGGTTGATTATAACTTAATTCTATTTAATGAAGAATTAATTTCTATAGGCCACATCTTTTTGTTTTAAACCACAGCCATGTTATAGGTCTTTAAATAAATCATAAGCTATTGCTCATTGTATTTATTTTAGAATTTATAGGTTTGTATTTAGACCTGTTGGCAGTTGAAATATTAAACTGTGGTAACGTATTTATCACTTATCACTTTGAGCCAGGTGTGTGTGTTTCCATATGAACACATGATGGCAGAGGTAGAAATATTTTAGACTTATTAAACATTCTACTACTGGTACATTGGTTTTGTGAAAGCTTTGCTGAACTGACTACCCAGGATGAATCAATTTAATGCCATTCCATAAATCCAGGAAATTAATAGAACTGATGTATCTTTTTAAGTTATCAAAACTAGTTTTTTGTCTTATCTGAGATGAACAATAGTCTACCAATAATTTTGTGATCAATAAAATTGGGGCCTGCAGCTGCAAATGTTTTCACTGGCACAGAGGAGAAAAATTCAGAAGCTAAAGTCAAGATAGGAAAGCCAGTCCATAATGGTGGTGCATGCTTTAAATCCCACCACTCAGGAGGCAGAGGCAAGTGGATCTCCAGTTCACGGCTAGCCTGATAGTTCAGGTCAGCCAGGTCTTCATAGTGAGGGTCTGACTCAAAAAATAAAGTTTCACTGGGCAGTGGTGGCACACACCTTTAGTCCCAGCATTTGGGAGGCAGAGGCAGGAGGATTTCTATGAGTTGGAGGCCAGCCTGTTCTACAAAGCTACACAGAGAAATCCTGTCTAAAAAAAAAGAAAAGGGAAAAAAAAATCGTATGATGATTCCCTCCCCAGGTTTCCCTTAATATGTAATGACTAATTATATGGGTAATTTTATAAAGACAGGATTATTTTGTTGACCTTTGCCTATTATTTACCATTTTTTTTTCAAATGTAAGATTGAACATAGTGTCTGAGGCACACTAGGTGAAATGGTTTAGAAGTGAAACTCACCATGTAGCCTAGGACTTCTATTCCCTCTGGAGTCTAAGCATTGTAGTCCTGCTTACTATGTCCAGTTTAAGTGAGGTTTTTGCGCCCCGCCCCCCTTCGTCATTGCCTGGGAATAGAACTAAGGACCTTGTGAGTGCCAGGCAAGTTCTGTACCACATATCTCCGTCCGCAGCAGCCTAAATGAAGTTTTTTTTTTTTTAATGAACTTTCTTGTTCACAGTATAGTATAATGGTTTATTCTGAAGGAAGGATTAGTTGTCTTCCTACTCAAGCTTGATTACCAGCGTTCTTTGGTCTTTCGTTTCTCTGGTCAATTTACATCCCTCCCCCCCCCTCCCCTCCCCACCCTGCTAGGTTATTTCCAGGTTACATATAAATACCCTAAATCCTTTATTTAAAAAAAAAAAAAAGAAGAAGACAAGCTAAGACAAAACTTTTCTTACCCTCTATTCGACTTCTGGGGCCGTTTCAGAACGAAAAGCATGCAAAAGCCTAGTTGAAACGTCAGGGAATCCACCAGAGGGAGATGCTTGCTAGACAACGAGAAAGAAACTCCCGCAAGAGACCGGAGACTGGAGCTTTGGGAGGAGCCGCCAGGCGCCGGGTTTGCCCTAGGGTTCGAGAAGGGATGAGGAGGTGTGTGTAGTTTGGCGCTGACGTTGGAGGATAGCCGAGGGAACCACGGGCCTACTACCTGCAGCAGCGAACCGTTTACCTGGCTTAACACTAAACGAAAGGTGTAAGGATATTTCCAAAGGAGAACACGAAGCTCCCAACCCACCTCCCAACAGTCCCAGAAGAAATGGGGGGTGGGTATCTTTAAAGGCACTTCCGCTTAGCAACCCCACGCTGTTGCTAAGGAGGGGCTGCAGCATGAACGACCCGGAAGTGGTGGTCTGAATTTCTCAGTGACTGCTAAGGGTTTGTCCTATCAGGAGAGCCAGGATGCTCGGCGGCTCCGGGAGGTGGGTGGGGCCAGCATTAGTACTTCCGGTTTGGCTTCGGCCGCCCCTCAACTCCTCTCCTTCCCCCCCCTCCGCCTCCTCGTCTCCCTCCCGCTCCTGGGAAAGCGAAGCCGTCGCTTTAAGGGTGGCTGAGAGAAGCACTCGGCGTCTCGGGGAGGGGACCGCGCCCGCCCCCTTGGAACCACGGAGCGTGGCCGATACAGGTAAGTACTCTGGCTTCGACTGGGTCTGGGAGACCAATCTGAGGTGTGTGTGTGTGTGTGTGTGTGTGTGTGCGCGCGCGCGCGTGTGTGCGTGTGTGTGTGTGAGAAAGAGAGGGGGGCTTTGGGGGCCCTTCGCCGGGGCGGGGCGGTGGACGCCGGGATCCCGGGTGGGGCACGGGCTTGTCTGTGGAGGGTTGCGGGGGCGGGACGAAGGGATGAGGGTCTCTGCGAGCGAAGAGTTGAGGGTGGCGGGTTAGACCCAGTCGCAGGAGGCTCCCTTTCTGAGGCAGAGACTTCGGCCAATGCAAACAGGGAGTTTCCCACCTGGAGTGCCCGCTCTGAAAGGGAAAGGAGGGGGGAGCATCATTCAAGGCCGAAATCAGGGTACAGACTTTGCTGGGTGTCTGTGGTTATCCCATACTTTACACTGTCTGTGTCCCGGACCCTTTCTGCTGGGACAGAGCCGGGCTTCGAGGGCTTGTGGGGGTTTCGTGTCTGCTGGGCATCGCGGAGCCGCCCTTGGCAGAGCTAGGGCAGAAGAGTGGGTAATGAGACCTCCCTCCACCCAACTTCCGTGCGCTTCCCCCGCTTCTTCCTTTATTGCTCCCTCGCCCGGGCGTCCTATAGGAGCGGTGTCCCCCAAGTGGGCACGCATCACATAATGAAAGATGAGTGTGGAACTGGGTAGTATTTCAGATATTTGCAAAGGGCCAGAGTGGCATATTCTACCAGTCTCCCAGACCGATATATATTTTGTATGAATTTTCTTAGAAAAGTGCAATACTGAAAAGCATCTGACTATAGTCAAACGTAGCCTCATAAATGTACATGCTTAATCCCCAACACACACACGGAAATCCATATAAATAGAGGTCTAGATGAGACATGTTGAGGCAAGCTTTTTCCAACCTCTTTCTCACCTGCCAGTAAACCTGTAGTTTAAACGAATCAGGTATTTTCTTCATTTATATTTAAGTGACCGAATTGTAAGTAGTTTAGTGATATATATCTTAGAATAACAAGTGGACATTTGAAGAGAAACGAGAGTACATCTCTGCTGTTAAGCTGTTTTTTAATCTTTTAAGGAGATGATTGTACTCAAGTGGAAGTGTTGGCTTTGAGAAAGATAATTTTGGGAATGAACCCAGCCTGTGTCAAGTCATAGACTATAGCAGAGTTTCTGTCTCTTCACAAGGAGGTCATTTCCAGTCAGTGTCATAACAGAGGTGGTTATTTATATAACTCCGTTTAAAACAAGCCCCTTTGAATTGCAAGATTGTTATTAATCATACAGTTAAGGTAACCCAACTTAGTGGAAAGGGGATTTTGAAAAGGAAACTGGATGGTAATATTTGAAGAGTATGCAACAAAAATTTGAGGGATTTCTATATATTTTATATATTACTTGTTGAGGGTGTGAGACAGGCTCTCACTATGTAGCTCTAGCCTCTAGCTCCTGGAACTCACTATGTAGACCAGGCTGGCCTCAACTTACAGAGATTCACTTGCTTCTGCCTCCCCAGTGATGGGATTAAAGGCGTACACCACCATGCCCAGCTTTATTATTATTATTTCTTCTGTGGTGCGGGGCACGCAACCCAGAAAGGCCACACATATACTATGCTTTTCAGCTATTGAGCTACAACTTTTAGTCCCTAGAAATTGATCGTATGTATTGTTAAAAAAAATGCAATTTTTAATAGTTTCTTAAAGTGAGTTAAGAAGTAAGCACTATATATGTTTATTTCTTGAAATGACCAAAGTACATTTTGTAGGTTTTTCTCAGATTAAACTACAGTTATATATAGCATGGATTGAAACGAAAAACATTTATAAGTAACTTATTTAAATCTTAACATCATATGTCTTCTTAAAGGCAGTTAGACTTGGAACATAAAATAGAAAGTAGTTGTAATTTTAAGATTAAGGTTAGCATCACTTGCATGAGTCATAATGTTAGCAAAATCTAATTTACTTCTGTTTTGTTTTTTGAGACAGTCTCAGCATATAACTCAGGCTGGCCTTGATCTTGAGATGCTCTTTCCCCTTGAGGGCTGGGATTACAGCTGTACACCAAGTCACCTGACTTCTAGAGAATTTTTACTTATAAACTGTAAAATAAATGAAAATATAATAAATTTCTCCCTTTATATGATTAGTCATCAGAATGTAGAATATAAAATCTTGATATATACTTATTTGCTTTATGGATTTAAAATAATAATTGTATGTAACCTATTATGTTGGGCTTTTCTTTTTGAGAAAGGGTCTCACTGTGTAGCTCTGGCTGGTTTGGAACCTGTTTTTTAGACCAAGCTTACCTGGAACTCACAGATTCATCTGCTTCTACTCCCTGAATGCTGGGACTAAAAGCATGCACCACCACACCCAGCTTATGTCAGATTTTCAACAAACATGTTTTCTTTGTGGTTGGTAATTTAAAATATTTCAAATGTACTTTATACTCAAAAGAGGCTGATATAAATATCTCCCTTTAATATTTTTTGCATGAAAATTAGGTATAAGGTTTCCAATTCAGTGTGACGTTTCAGAGAGGTTTGCACATTTTTTTGTAAAATTGAAATTTTCAATATCTCTGTTTTAATCAGAGTTGAAATTATGTTTTGCTATAGTTAAAGATTTTTGGTAAGATGATTCAAATTTCTAAATGGCTCTTTTAAGGGAGCACTTATATAAATAAAGTTTTGCTGTGTTTTTTGAATTGTTACTTTTCATCACTTTTTGAATCTTAAAGCTGAGGTCACATTGACTTTGCTTTTAGCAGTGCCCATTTTTTACCTGTCTTTTAAATAAAATGTTAATAATCCATTTATTTTCATACAAGGAATAGTGTAATAGCTGTTGATTTGAAAAATTCTGCCGAAATGTCACCAATCCAAAGATCTTTGCAGTTGTCAGTTGTGGAATTTGTTTGTTAGGGAATCTAAAAACTACTGACCCTTCCTTGAGCATGTCTTTGATTATCTTAAAAACTTAGGCATGATAGAGGAGGTATATGTTGGGAAATGTACATACATTTGTACATACATACCATCTAGTAGAATAATAGAAATTAACAAAGTAGTTAATTATGTTGTGGTGCTGTTAAATCAGGAATAAAAGAGTTATTGTGAAAATGTTAAAACATTTTTTACAAGGTCCAGAAAAGTCTTTGTTTTAACTCCAATCAAGTGACTTCTCTCCTAAACTTGTTTCTATCTTATGTTATATTTTATGGAGATATTTAGCTTCTAATCTAGTTAAATAATCTTGATGTTAAGAAAAAAAAGTGTAGCTAGATTTTTAAAAATTATTTTTTATTTACATTATTGAGGGTGCATGCATGTGTGAGAGTGTCAAGATCTTGGAGTTATAGACAGTTATAAGTTGCCATGTGGAAGCTGAAAATTGAACCCAGGTTCTCTGAAAGAAAAGTTAGTGCTCTTAATTGCTGAGCCATGTCACCAGCCTGTGTAGCTAGATTTTTTTTAATTTAACTTTTATTTTATGTGTGTTGATGTGAAGGAGTCAGATCCTCTGGAACTGGAGCTACAGGCTACAGTTGAGAACTGCCATGTGAGTGCTGGGGATTGAACCTGGGTCCTCTGGTGCATCTCTCCAGCATCCTGTAGCTAGATTTTAATATGACAGATTTTGATAGAAACTGCTTCAGTGGCTTTACATACATAGTAGACTTTCCTGGAAGAACCTTGAATTTGTAAAATGATAGTTTTTCTCTTAATAGTAGCTCTACCCATTTGTGCCTAATATAGAATCACTGAGAAACTGGGAAGAAAAAAGTGAATTTATTTAAGAATTACCATTTTAAGTTTTATAGATTACTTATTTAGAAAGCTAAATTGGATTTTGACATTATTGGGATTGTGTTCAAGATGGACTAAGGGAAAAAAATTAGATGCCATCTGTTTCACATTCCTTCTTTCCTCACCCCTCCCATGTTTTATGGCTTTGAATTCATCAGATTACTTTTCAAAAATATAAACCTTCAGTAGACTTAGATTAATTATATAATATCAATTCCTGTCAGTGAATATGTAAATAAATAACTTGGATTGTTATGTTGTTATATAGGGTGATAGTAGGCATTGCTTAAAGGTAATTGTTGAGTTATTTAACATAAATTAGCTTCTTGCATCTTTATTATCTTGATAAATATTTGTTTATTTATTTGGTTTTGCTATTTTGAGACAGGGCAACATGTAGTCTAAGCAGGCTTCAAACTTGCCATATAGCCAAGGCTAGTCCTAAGTTTTTGATCCTCCTGCTGATATCTCACAAATGCTAAGGTTACAGGCCTGTGCCACCAGGCCCAATATTGATAAACCATTTTTGTCATTCCTGCTTATTAGAGTCCCATTTTGATGAAAGTTGCATTGTTGCATTAAAAAAAAGAGTATTAGAATAAATGATAGTGTTAGAATAAACCTTTATTCACTTGATAGATCACAACAGGAAAAAAAAAGGTTTGCTGAGAATTTATATTTAGTGACAAACCCACTTTAATTTATCCTTATAGCAATAGTTTTTCCTTACCTATATACTTTGGCTTAGTTTTCTTTCAAAATGTGTGCCCAATTCAATTTGGATTGTTTTGGCAGGCAGGAGCTAGGCACATTTGACTCTAAATAAGTCCCAGGGAGGGACTATTGGATTTCCAGAACTGAGAAAAAAAAACATACCTTGCTGAGGTTATAGTAGTTGATATTTAGCATGGCCTGAGAGACCCAGGCATCTTGGATAGGCTACAAAGGAGAAGTAACGTGGTATCCCAGAAATGGCGTGAAGAGAGAGCCATCTGGACAGAAGAGAGTCACGCTTTGTCTCCAGCAGGAATGTTCTGGTGAGGTAGGAAGACAGATGGCCTATCCCTACACCACTGTAGTCTGTCCCTCACTCAGAAGCTTCTGTGGGCAGTGTAGTATGTGGGGGCTGGGATGCCAGGGATAGGAATTGTTCTTTATTTGCCTGTCACAATGGAG